TAAATTTATTTAAAATAATTTTTAAAATAAAATAAAAATTTTAAAAATTTAATTAAAATATCGGTCACGTGACGGCGCTAGACGGACCAATAGGAAAGCTTAATCTCGATGGCGCACTTCTTCCTTCCAGTTGATCGACTTGTAGTAGTCGTCTGCTTGTGCATGGTGTCGACTGGCGAAGATGAAGGACGATGCGAGTGAAGTTAAACGATCGTTATACGAAACAAAACAGACGAATGGAAGTTCGCTCGTTACAAATATAACGTTCGATGACGATTGAAAGGACCGGGTTGAAGTCTTTGCCATGAGCGGAGGCGAAACGCCGCCGAGCAGACGTCGATGTTCCGATCCTGTTAATGATTTCGAAAGTGTTCGAGTCAAACAAGAACCGGAAGATGATATTAAAGTAAGTCGCATTAATTAATCGCGTTAATTTCCACGTACAATAGCGTTATGAAACGTTTACCTATTCTCTACTTGTCAACAATAATTTTTCTTCTATTTTCCTCTGTTTTCCTCCTGGCGCACGTGACGCGTGATGTCGTGCTATGACGTCACACTCTCCACGTGGTAGAGAGTGTGGGACAAAAAAAAAAAAAAGAGGATTTGTTTTTATCACACGAGTTGAATTTTTTTTTTTTATTTTATTCCTGGTTTGTTCTTTATGTTTGAATGCCTCGTTGACCCGGTGCCAGAATTCTGTTAAAATAATTGTATCGAATTTGTGTTGCTCGTATCAATTATCGAGCGAATTAGATTTTTGTATAGATGAATAGAAGTGAAATTATAAATTAATTTGAAAAAAGAAATCCTTTTTAAGTAAAGAAAATTACAATGTTATTGCTAAATTAAAATATAGAATTAAATTGAAGAAAATTTATTTTTAAATTATAATTTTTGTTAATTAAATTAAATTAAATTCAATTAATTTTAATTATAGCTCAGTTACGTCTAAAATTAATTGGAAAATTTTTAATAAAATTTTCAAAATGCTATTTAAACATAATTCGATAAAAATTAAAATTCTTTGTTTTATTTTCTTACGTGAAAAATTCAATTTTGATTAGTTTATAATTCCGATTTTATAAATTTTAAAATAGCTTTCCGAGTGATAAAAAAATAAAAAAAATTAATTTTTCTGTCGGGTCGGATGCGGCTTGATTAATGAAGATGATTATTTTATCAAACTGTAATATAATGAAGCGGTCGTCAACATCCTCCAAAATTCAAACATGGCTTGAATAACTGTATAAAGGTCAAGACCGGCAGTATATTTAACATATTCATTCACCTGCGGACAGGCAGAGAATGAACGCGTGCATATTCCCCACCCTCTTCTCATCAGAATTCTTGCCAGAAAACAGTAATGAATAATAATTTACCCATCCACCCACTTTCTTAATTACTTCGTCTTTATTTACCACGTTGGAAACATCTCAGAAGATACAATAAAAAGTTTGCTAGTGCCAGCACCAATCTCTTACAGATTTGAAAATTTTTTTCCTCGTCACTCGATTTTTAAGTGCAGTTTGTAGCTTTTAAAAATTATCACTTTTGCTTTGATTGCGATTTTCATTTAAGATTAAATTGCATTTTTTTCCTCCTCATCCCCGAGATCAAAGTTTTCTAAATATTTTTAATACCGACATCTCGAAAATACTCTAAAGAAAGGAGTAAAATTTCGCGTTTTCGTACAGTTTTTTAATGGTAATTTGCATTCTAGACGAAAGTACGGTACCACTTGTGGCATACGTACAGAAAATTTTTATTTGAAATATTAAACAAGTGGTTTTTAGTTCGGCGGAATTATATAACTGAACTTAAGCTACGTATACGCAGGTGATTGGGAAGAAATGTTACTTTTCCAATGCATGAAGGTTGCTCCTGTACTACGTTAAGGCGGGCGATCAATGTCCAGTCTCTGATGTAACTTGAGAAGTTTCTGTATTTCCGGTGTAAGACTAAACTATGGACGGGAAAGGGAATGAGATTCTCTCTCTCTCTCTTTTTTCATTTATTCCTACCTTTGGCAGAATTTTTAGCTGATCAGGTTGTTTTCCATTATGAAATGTAGCTCTTCGCGACATTTCAAACAATTACTATACAGAAATTTAATCGTCTCTCATACATCATCATCTCCCAATGAAGTTTCATCCATCATCACCGTCGCGGAGTCGTTTAGGAAATTCGATAAACAACTTTTCTCAACAGTGTAATTTTTCTCCCACCTTTGAATTCAATTAGTCAGGTATATTACTTCCGAATTACTCCATAAATCGATTAGCCTATCAATAACCGAAAGCGGTGTGTTCCGTCCAGTCCGTATTCATATTTATGGTCATAAATATTAATGGACCGAGTATATCTCGCCACTATCAAAGACAACTGTCTCGAAATCATTTCCATTCCCCGACCGTAAATTCGCCCATTATGCAAAATGCGACTTAAGCGAGCAAATAGTCGACCTTCGATTAGCATAAGAGGTGACATTGGTGAGCATTAAACGATCCAAAGGTGCCATTCGTTACACATCGCATCAAGTGCAGCCGTTTTGCTGTATTCGACCTAATTGCTTTTTCAAAAAATAAGACGTCATCCGGAGTGTCCACATCGGAAGACAACAAACAGATCGCTACGAAAATTCTCCTTTTTCACATCTGGCATCGTCAAGGGTTTTTCCTGTTCTTTCCCAGAACTCCATGTAGATAACAGGGTGATAGTCTGTCTTTTTTTCTTCCTATATATATATACATATACAGTAGATATACCCAGTTTGAAACCGATAGCTCTCGGATCTTGTTACCAAACTAACACGCTATTGAATGCACATGGTAGTCTCTCTCTATCCAATCCCCCGCCACCTTCCCTTTCGTCCCACACTACAGCGTAGCCTGAAACTCCAAAATCACAGGTTTGACGGCATATATGTACTTATTTAGGTGTATACTTAGATAAACTGTGGGCAGAATTAGAAACTGCTTCGACGCGCCGATATCTTACAACCGTCGGTGTAAAGTATCAAAACTATTTTTAGATGTCCTGTTAAGTTTTCTTCCTTGAAGTAGAAGACTAACTCCACACTCGCTAATGGCGAGAATGCTTTTATAATATGCATTCTTTGATAAAGTGCATATTTTATCCGTTTTTAATTTATTTAAAATCGAAAATAAAGTAATAAAAGATTTATCGACGCTTCACCGACAGCAACGTAATAATAAAGGTATGTCCATCAAAACAGCTAGGGAATAATATATATATATATATAAAGGTAGTAGAGATTTACATTGTAAATGAGCAGATATGTAAATGACATACAAGTTTTTGAGGGACTAGAAGGTAAACAGAAGTTGGGGACTGTAAGGTACATGTACACACTCTCCATTAAGGTGTAATGGAATCGTAGACCGGTTAGTCGTCACTTTATCCTTCCCTAGCGACCGCTTGCCGGGGAGACGTTACCCGATCCTTCGTCCGAACTCGACACCCCTCATTAATTTTCTCCACATATACATTTCCACTTTATTTCTGCAATTATAGTTGAAGTCTCTAGATAAAATGTGAGACTCGACGGTGCTGCAATTTGTTATTCTCCGAAAAGTTTCAGGTCATTTGGAAGACTTTTGTATTTGTACCATAATTTGAAATCCTATACCATCTAGGACCAATAGTAGGGTTCTCATTTGGCTCGTGGCTCCGTTTGAAGAAATGGGAAAAGGTAGTAGTGCTGAAAAGGCACTGAAATAGTAGATGGATGTAAGGTGAGCCTCTCTTTCTTTCGAGTTGGCTGACATTAGATGGTATGCCTGCATTCTCTTTCATCGTCATCTAATCTCTCAGTTCGTTGTTGAAACATCACTGGACGGAAAAAAAAAGAAAATGTAAAACTTTGTCGAATAAATATCCGTTTCTTCCTGTTTCATTATGGATCGAGATAATGGATACAAAAATCACATTTCCCATTTCTCCGATTTCTTTCTCGTGTTAATTTCTTAAATAACTTTTGCAAGAATTATTGATAAGAACAACACAAGTCGAATAGGGAGAGAATTAGGTGTAGAAGCCCGATAGTAGATGTTACGCCGGTCTAAGTGTCGAAAGACGAAGATATATAAACAAATCGCTGCGAGGTCGAGCGGAAATGAGTTTGTGCAATGTTCGAATGTTTGAGAATATAATAAACACAAATTTTTCACATCTGCCTTCCATACGTTGTGAAATTGCTGCATTTCCTCAACTAAGTTTAATTTCCGAATTCATTGAAAAACGTAGAAGCCGGCTGCATAACAAACTGATCAAACGCTTCCTTTTATCTGTTATTTTATTTTTTCAAAATGATTACTTTAAGAAGAGATATGGAAGTAATAGTGAGCAAAGGAATATGTCGAACTGAAAATACCACTGGTAGAGTCTGCTAATTGATCTCCTGATAGTAATTTCGTTTCGAGTCTACAACACAATTAAATACCGTTCAGAAGAAACATTCTACTTGGAGTTTAGACGATAAACTGCTCTCGGTTGAAGATAAGTTTCCTCTTAATTGATTGCCTAAAACACGTGAGTACCCAGGAACGATTTCAATTTAGTAGCCTATATTTTACTTTTACTGATCTGTAAACAGTAGGAATTAAACCGCTGCTATTTTGACGTCGTGTTTTTTGTAGTCGAACCTAAGAAAGGCACCTTTAATTATTTAATTATATAACTTGTTTAGACATTTTGGAATAAATTTGCTTCAGAAGTGTTATGTAAACTCGGTAGATCTAGAAAATGAAGCCTAATATAGTTCAGTTATTATCTGATACAGCTGGTAGATAGAATTTCTTAGATTAGTTTAAATTTAAACAGGAGTACTGGTGTTTTATTTCTGACAAAAATAACTAAGTTGCTTAAAATTATAGTCCAAGAAAACATTTTTTCTCGATATTAAATAAGTTATTTTAATTGGATCATTAGTAGTCATATTTTTTAAAAAATTATATATTTAGTATTATTAGTATTTAGGAGATTATTGTTAAGATTCTAGGATATAGATATGCTTTAAAATCTGAATCACAGGATGTATTTTAATTATTACTGTAATTTATGAAAAGTAAATCGATATTTCGTTTGTTCTCCAAAGTTAAGTTTGAGATAAATACAGAATGGTGGAATAAAAGCAAATTACAAAAGCATTATAATTAGAAAATCATCTTCATCTGTAATCTTTCCAATCGAAAATGCTTAAATAGAATCGAAAGTAAATCAAATATCTCTTGTTTTATATTATTAAATTTCACCTGTTAACTGTAACCGGCGCTAAATAAATTAACTCTAGATTTTACAGCCATTGTCATGTCCACCACTACAGTTTAATTTGCTAATAGAAGAAAATAATCTGTTTAATGTTAAATTGAGGGAACATTAGGTTTTAAATGAGGATTGTTTCGATTTTAATTGTAATTAAAGAAGACGAATTTGATTAGGAAGTCTAAAAGGTGTATTTTAAGCTTTACTTCTTACATTTCTATTCATTTCAGATATTGTTTGGCTAATTAAATTTTTCGTTGTTAAATGATTCGTTGTAGGCTAATTCATCTATTTATCCTAAAAAATGATTCTTTCTATACATTATTTTAAATTCAGAATCGTGTTTTATAGACTGTAAACTGTCTGTTTTCCATGTAAATATGGCATTTAAGAAAAATTATGGGAGAGTTTTAAAAATGTTTTCCTGGAGTATTTACCTCTGCCTGTTGCATATTTATTAAAGTAGAGGACTTGTTTATGACATTCAATGCGAAACAATATAAACACTCCTTAAATTATTTGTTTAAATTGTTTCAGATGCTTGGATATTGTAAACAAGATAGTTCTCAAGATTAAATTATAGACTGTTTGCTATGCCTTTTCACTTAGGGTGCATTTATCATATTTTTCTCTATTAGAAACATATCCAGTTTGTTTTTCTTTTTTGTTAAAATTTATCTAAATGAGTGCTTAAATAAAATATAAGTCAATAATTGTCGATGTCTGATTTAATAATAGAGCACAGTAACAGAACTCTGTTCAAATATTGAGCGAAAGAAACAACTCTATTGATTCACTCTAGCCGATTCTCAAACATCGAATTTTAAAGATTCAAATATTGATTTCACGTTTGAAAGGCCAACTGTAAAAGGTATTTTATAGTATCACCTTGGTTTTTTTCCTTCGATATTCCAATTTGTGATAAGGAATTGTTTCAATTTGTGTAAATTAGTGGACCTATTGTGCGATCGTATTGTTTGCTTTAGCGTCATAAACCCTCTAATATCATAATTAAAATGTATTTACATGTTAATAAATTAATCCAATATATTCAAATTCAATTTTACAACATGGTAGTTTATATATTTTGCAAATTCTCTCGCCCTCGTCATGTCTGTATTATAAAATAAAAACCCAAAAAAGAAAAGAATAAGAGGCAAGATTTTATAAATTCGGTTAATAATTTTTACATGAATTATTGTAATATAAATTCCCTATTATCATATCGAAACGCATTTTTGTTTATAAAATCAAGAATAAATTGTTATTCATTATATCCAACAATATAAATTTTTAAAATTCTTTGATTAGGCTAAAAAGAAATACAACCGGTATATTTAAATAATTATAAAAACTTGTTTATAGAAAATTCTACGTATAACGCAAAATTTATAAAACTTAAAATTTTTTAGTACAATAATCATTTTTAAATCTATTTAATTTAGATACCTTTTTTTTTTATTCTTGAATTCTTGCTATTGAATTCACTAATTCGTCTGTCTTCTTGGTATTTATTATGAAGGATGAGTCGATGATGCCAGTTTTCGCCGACATTTTCCTTCATTTTTTTCTCCCCCTAAATGCCGTTCCACTTTTTTTTAATTTGGGAAACTGATATGTGATTGAGTGACATTAAATTGAGCGGTTCGTTTCTCCACGTCAGATATTACTTTCATCAACGTGACAATGAGAATTTTGACGAAAATCAATTCTTGCTGTGGTTAATGTATGGTTGTTCATTCACTAATGATTTTGGAAAAGAAGAAATTCTATTTGCGGTAAATATTTTAAGATGCTTCTATTATTTTACATTACTGTTGATATCCTATCTTATTTTCACTTAAATCTTTCATCGTATCGCGCACGTCACCGTATTAAACGAAGTTTAAGTCAGCTCTAAGTTGTTTTATTCTATAGGCCTAAGAGTTGAGTAATTAGTTTTTAATTAATTCGAAAGTGTAAATAATTTTTTTTAGCAGTCTCTAAGGATGGCTGCAATATCCCATTTAAAATTTCGGGAGTTAATTCTACTGTGGTAAAGACGAAACGGCTAATTTTTGCCCAGCTTCTAATTATAAATTCCAAATCTGTCTTAAATTCTTAATTTTTAGTGTTTCTGTCTAGTCAAATCGGTTCCCTAATACTCATTTAGCTACAGTACAATAGATCGCTCAGTTTTTGCATTTCTTTCAGATTATTGGCCATTCTCCAAAGCAGACTTCTATTCAGCTGCGAAAATCCCTTCTGTATAATTACTGTATACTTCGAGCAGGTGTTCGTAAATATACAGCCACCCCAAAAGAAGAAACCTGAAATTCGAAATTTAAAAAAATTTTTGAAAGGAAAATAAGTTTTTGCGGCTATTACCATAAAGCTTCCGCGCTATATTTTACGGTGTAAGCTTTAGTATATTGCACGAAATTGTCTGAATTGTAAGACCGTGTTCAGATCACGATGTCGGAAACACGTGTTTCCTTCGATTTTACATAACTAATCGATGATACGAAGAAGACTTGTCGTTTACTATCGATTCGTCCGATGGCCTACTTTGTCGGACTTTTTTTATTGGCCTTCTCTTAATGTTAATTCAAATTTACCTCTGCTTCCAGCAAACCATTGATTTGTCTATTTAACGATTGCGATTCAGTCGCGGCACTTGCGAATTCCGCTAGAAAATCCATCGAATTTGTAAATTTTAAAACTCGTTATGAGAAAACGGCATTAAAGAGTCAATTTTCTGCCATGTTACACACCAAACGCTCGTGTCTAATGAAGACAATTCCGTTTAATTGATTTTATTGGGAATTTGATTATCAGAGTGGAAAGCAATTCCATTTAAATCGACTGTTTCGGTCAGTGCGGAGGAAGTTGTACGGAATTGATTTCCAAGTGTTTATTATAAAAAAAAAAAAAAAAAATTTCCGATGTTTTACAGTTTAGCGTGTTAAATATAAAATTCTTGACGTGACAGATTGAATAGTTGTCTAATTAATTTAGTTAATTCTTAATTGATCGTTCTGAAAATTAATATCCTCTAGCATTCGAGATTTTTTTTTACTGGAAAATGTTAAATATCGATTTTGTATTGGTTTTACATTTAAAAAAGATTATTTGGCAAATAAGTAAAATGCTTTTGTTCGAGATATCAATATTTTATTGATTGTTTAAAGCCGAAATTACCGATATAACACGGTCAACTACCCTGGAGTAAAACAGTTTTATTTGCGAATCGGCCTATAAAAATCATATATAACAACTATTTTCTGTGAGTTTGTGTTCTTTTTTACGACTTCTACAATGTGTTGAATCTGGACGGGTCGTCTATTCGACACTTCAAAATCCGATAAACCGAAATAGTCGATTTTTATCGCTTAAATGTCCGTGAATCTGTCGGGTTTCACGTTCGACCGTACTAATTGAAAGTTTTTATTATTATTTTTTTAACTGAAGAGGATAGTTTGTTAAAATAAATATAGTTGGCCCGAGAGGTGCCGACTTAATCATTTTTGTTCTGACAGATACGCAAGTTATGATTTAAACTTGTTATCTTTTTAATTATTGACGATAATAGAATCAAAGAGAAGCAGATGGCCAACGTTAATCTAGTCTATTACGAATCATTGCTAACTTGATGGATAAGTGCAAACGTCGTGTTCGGAAAGAGTTAAGTCCACTCCTCCCACGGTGAGAATTTATGAAGATCTTGATGGGGTAAGACTCCAGTATTATCTCTTCTTCCATTGATAAGCACTGCCGGGTTGGTATAAATCAAGTGTAGAACGTCCCATTTCGTCTGTTCTCCCTTACTCATCCGGAGCAGGTGTGCTACCGTAGCTTAAGAGTTTCGAGTTAATCAATCATTTATTGTCGTGGTAGAATTAATCAATAAAATACTTTTCAGGATTACGCCGAGACCACTATGAACGAGTTACTCGGATGGTACGGATATGGAAAAGTGGATAGCAAGGATACTCAAGGTTTGAATTTACAACATTTCGCTACGGTGACGTCACCCGTCACGTCTGTTTCCACACCCGATGGAAGTGGTTCCGAAGATACTAGTCGCGACACTCTCCATCCTTCGACTGGAAAGTCGTCTTCCAACGGCCCCGTTAGCGTCGACAGCCCCAAATCCGAAAGTGGACAAGGGAGATCAGAAAGTAAGTTAGATTATTGTGTATCTATCGTAGTGTCAGAATTGAATTTGTCACACTCGGGCAAAGACCGATCGGATGATTAGAGGATTTTTTGTCAGTATTGCCTTATCCAAAGACGAACTCTAAAATTAATGTAATTATAAAGTAGTGGATCTGGTTGGCGGTGGTGGTGTTGCCCGCGGCTGACGTCTGCCACGATTTATAGCTGTCCCGGTCAGACCGAAAATCGTGATGTTCCAAACCTCATGCCGACACGCCTCCTTCACCCTCCTCCTTCTTATTCAGATTCCACACCATCTTCTACGCAGCAATTATACACTAACCCTTTTTTTTCTTTTGCTGCATTCGATCAGATGTATCTTTAATATTCCGATTCTGTTTGACCTTTTCTTTGACTCCCGATCTTTTAATGTTCGAATCCAATTGTCCGTTTGTCGAGTATTACGTGCAGAATATCATTTTCTAATTCGTATTCTTTTCATTATTACAGGATCGTCTTTGGCTAATGATCCGGTTGTTATTCAACATCAGAAACTGGTGTCCGCTTTGGCAAATCTTCCAAAACCTCCAGGTGAATCATTTTCATCATCTTTTTTTAGCGTGACTTCATGTCTGGGCGTTTGACGGTTACGAAAATCGACAAATAAATCAGAGTTTCTGAAAACTAACCTCCCCTTTGGGCACGGCCCTACAGGGTACGTCCTTCCTTACCTTGAACCCTTAAAAGATTTAGCCTACTGTCAACTCATCATTCGTATCTCGCGAGGAAGTTTCTTTCTTTTTCAAACTCATTCCCCATTTTAACGATGTTAATGAATTTATAATATTAAAAATTTAGCATTATCTGCACTATCTTCCCTCCCATCTCTTTTTGAATCGATTTTATGCGTGGCGCTTTCGAAAAATGAACGAACCAACCAACCAACCCGTATTTTGCAACGTAACATAAATCTTAAAAACTGCACACTATTAAACAAATATATACAATCTTACACAGAATGAAACATTAAAATGTAATTTAATTTGAGCATTTTGTAATTTAAACTGAAATGATTGCTAAGTTTTCATTATGCAGATTTATAAATTAAAATGCGAGAATTTTTAAAAAATATAAATAACCGATTTTTTGAAAATAATTAAGATTTCCAAAATAAATACTTTATGCTAATTCATAATTTTTTCCGAATATTTTTACTCTGTTTTATTAATAAAACATCAGTTCGTATGAAACAAAAAGCTTTGTTATGGAGTCCAAAGTTACAACAAATTCGCACGGAGATTCATCCACAGGTGGTTGGAGGCCAAGATCAATCATTAGAGAAGTGTTTACGCATTCCCCACCATGCGCCAATCGTAACTGCCTTCTGCTTCAATGACACTCGAACTAAATAGATAAATCACAGAAAATAAGAGAGTGGATGCAATGACAATTGGCTGAAAACACCAGTTGTAATGAACTGTCTGCTGTATATCCCAAACATGGGTTGATTCCAAGCTATATATTAACTCGGACTGTCCCGCCCATAGTTCGTCCTGTAATTTATAGTGATTAGTCGGTGGGGATGTTTGGTCGTGACTTGAAACGGTGCTTCGGATCGTGGATAGTGGAAAATTGTAGGGACTAACTTTTAAACGACAGGTTAAATTGTCATCGCAGAAACGGTCCTATTTATTCAGCCACGGCCAATTACATACAATAATTATTTTAAAAGGGTACGAATGGTTTCGGGCTGCCCGTAAGATTATAACAGTTATAGAATCTCGACAGCTTGAATTCACTTTTGGGTTTTCTTTACAGAATCTCCGAATCTTCCCCCCGGTTGTGTCGTTTGTGCCTGGTGCCAAAAAGTTGGAATGAAACTATTTACTTTAAAAACAACGAATGGAAGTAAGGCCTTCTGTAGTGAACTGTGCTTCACCCAATGCAGAAGAGCGTCGTTTAAGAAGAATAAAGTTTGCGACTGGTGCAAACACGTTCGTCATACTGTCAATTATGTAGATTTTCAGGATGGTGAACAACAGTTGCAGTTCTGCAGCGATAAGTGCCTCAACCAGTATAAGATGAATATTTTCTGTAAAGAAACCCAGGCACATCTACAGTTACATCCGCATCTTCAAGACGCTGCCTGTAAAGTGACACCGAGTGGTTCTATGAATCTCATAACGCCAGAACTTTGGCTGAAAGACTGTAAGAATGGTGCCAAGACCAACGAAGACGATGTTGAGGAAACATCCGCTCAGGATGAAGTAGATGTCGTTAATACTAAGCAGAATACCAGGAAGGAAAGAGAAAAGGGTAAACGAGTTAATCGACAAACCGGAAGTCGACAAAGTAAAGACGGGAATGTGGAAAATCGACAGACTCCAGCTACTCCCGCTGTAGGGATATCGCCTCATAGAAGACAGTCCCCGTGTGCACCCAGTGACTATCAGAGACCGTCATTTCTTCCACCATATCCCAGTTTTCTTGCGCAACAACAGTTAGATGCTTATCTTCGATTGCAGCATTCCAGGTTCGGAGGACCACCAATCCCACTGCCACACGGTCCTTTACCTCCCTTTCCACCCGGAACAAGCCCTCATCCTCCTCTTCATCATCCATCATATCCTACTCCACCCGCATCACTTTTGCCTCCGGTAACGGTAGCCGTTCCTTATCCAATCCTCATCCCTTTACCTATCCCCGTTCCCATTATAATCCCATTATTATTAGGACTGTCGGAAAAGCTACAAGAAGAGAAGAAACAGGAAGCGAGAAAGGCATCGGATATCAAGAAAACGAACTCTAAAGTGGGTGACGACAGCAGTGACAGTAGTCAGGTGGAGGATGACACCACAGAAGACGACAGTGAGTTTACCAAAACAACTAGAAAGGAGAAACGGCCCTTGCAAGAAGGAAAGTATCGCGAGTTGAAACGGAAATGTACGAGAAGAAAACTAAATTCGATATGATTGTAAATAACGCTGAAGAGTTATCAGTCAAAGAGATTATCAACTACTTAGTTTTAAAAAGCTTAGCTTATATGTTGTTCGAGATCTAGTTTTTCAAGGTTATATACAATTTATAAATATATATATACGTATTTGTACAGTCTTTACTGTATACATGTATATACTAATTGTTATTGATGTCTGCAGGTTGTGATCATTTATTTGTAGCAAGTTCCATTAAAATGTTCATGTTGTAAATACGAAACGCCATTTCTTTAACCGGTCGCATCGGAAAAACTCCCTCACAACTCCGGAAGTTTTGGCGACCGTAAATCTTACACACAGACACACCTGGGATCATTTATCGCCATTCTTCCATCAGAAAAACTCTCGGTAGGGCCCGCCCCTAACCATCGGTGCGAGATTACAGGTGAGGACAGAGGAGGTGCCGCTAACCATTGTGAAGCTGGACAGCGGACAAAGCGTGGGAACATGTCGTGTGAGGTCACGGTCGGTCAGCATCGACACAAGCCAGCACCGTGATTAAGGGGAAAATGAGTTGAGGGCGGACTCCTAGAAGGGGTGGTACTCTGGCGAGAGGAGGAGTGCAGACATCGGATAGCGTCACAGAGTCGCCACCGAGTGTGAAGCCAAATGAAAGGTTATTCTGTTCGGCGACCGTCTCTATAGACTAATGAAAGGACTCTGCTTTGATTTTTTTTCCTCTCTGCTTTTTTCTTCTTTCTTTCTCCTCCCCGTCAGAGTTGAAAAGGTGTCTGCTACTGTTGCGCTGTGACTACTAATCAACTGGCTCAATCGCCAGGTAATTTTGTATTGTTATCGGGTACCGATAGCCTAGAAAGTTGCAAATCAAACCGACACTTTGTAAACCGATATAAATAAGAAAGCTCGTGTTGCTATTCGAATTGCAAATCTTTTAAAAATAATTGCTTCCTTTTTGAGTTATTTTCCTGTATAAAGATGTCACAACAACGCAGACTGTTGCATCTAGAAGTTTCTTTCACATAAATTAGACAGCGCTCACACATTGTAAATAATTCAAGCATTATATCTACAAAGAATTTTTCTCAATAAAATTTCTTATCTAGCAACTTTTTTTATGATTTCCAATTCAAACTCGAGAGTAGCCTACAGGTACTCGTTTCTAAATAACTTCATTTGGCATATGCTACTTTCTTTCACAATATTTCCAAAATATGTATATTATTTTTCAAATTCTAACGTCAAAACTTTTTACGGAATATATTAAAAAGTTTTTAATTTACTTTTTATATATAAATATATATGAATAAAATAATAAAAAAATATTGAATTCAAAGTAAATAAACTTAAAAATATACTCAACTTTTAAGCTAATAAAATCATCAAAATTTTATATATAGATATAAATTTTTTGCTTATTTCATTAACTAAAAGTTCTTATATCAAAATTACCATATATTTGCTGGATAATTTAGAAAATTTATATTCTTAATGATTAAATTTTCAAGTAAATTTGATCTTGATAAATTAATGTTCAGGAGATAAAAAAAAATAAGTTTAAAAAAAAAGACTGCAAGAAGTTTTTTAACTATTAAACCAGAAAAACAATTATATATTTATTCCATTAAAAATGCTTGATAAATTAAGTTTTTTTTTAATACATGAATTTGTATTATATTTTAAAATAATGAAGTCATTTTTATTGTTGACGACCTTAATAAAGCACTAACCAGGAATGGAAATTCGACATGGTGTGATCATACTGCTGCCATCTGTTGTCAAAAATGATTTAGCTTTAATAGGATTTCGGAAATTTAAGTACTTAGGATAATTATTTAAATTCGTATTTTTATCGATTTTATAGAAACAGATAAAGAAAATTACTCCAAATCCTAAGTTAAAAATTTATTAACTGAAGGTTTTGAATGTCATTTCTGCTATTCAATTTTAGTTGAATGATGGAATTATTTTTTTCCATTAACATTTGATAGAAAAATTAGCATAAATCATCAATCTTAACTGGCTCTAGGCAATCATGACTATTTGATGTAATTTCATTCTAATAAAAGCAATAAATTAATTTTGTTTTTTCATTTTTGTATTCCAAAATCTTAGATTTTACAAATTACAAGGGGTCATTTCTTTAATATAAAAATTTTAAATATATGAATTGTTTAATGGATTTTAATAATTTGATTAAAAATGTGATTATTTTGATATAAAAATATATTAAATGCAATTTAATATATAGCATTAGAGCAATGGATTTTAGTCTTAATTTCATGATTTCATTACTGAAAGATTTGTGTACTTTCTAAATTGACATTAAAAAAAAAATGCATAAAATTTAAAAAACTTTATTTTATGGAAAAAAAATTATAGATACATCAAATGAATATGAAAATTTACAAAAATGTGTACAATTTTTTAATACGGGCGCCCTCCCCTACGAATGGGAGGTCCTCTCGAAGGAGGCGGAAATATAGCTATGTCTAAATAATCTCCAATCTGAAATCTAGATACGGACAGTGTTTTGTTATCATCGGTTCCTCTCTGTCCCGAACAGGTAGTGCCTATGTCTCGCATCCTATATCCTGGACCTCGGATGTCGGGAAACACCAGAGCAAAATCAAAGTAGGTTCCCTTTCTTCTAGCGTCAGGATTAACCTCTTTGACCAGACTCGTCAACTCTTTGAGAGTAGCATCCATCCTGGAATATTAGTTTTAATAATAATAATAATTCGTTAGGATTTTTTCAATAAAAGTTAAAAGCTAGAAAAATAGTTTGTAATAGGTTTACAGTATTAAGTTTTATTTTAATTTTTCACACAAGTTACTTCAACAATTAAGTTTGTTATATATACTGAAAACTTTTTACATTTGCCACTATATATTGTCAAGTGATACAATATATTTCCAGGATGGTATAGAATTTTAAATTTTCTAAAAACGTATATTCTATTTTTCTTTTGATAGTTCCTGCCATCTGTTCCCTATATTTTAAAAATAAAATTTACAGCTGTAACCCTATTCTAAAATGAAATATGAGACAACAGATGGTATTACAAGAAAGTATTGTAACCGAATATCTTCTTGTTATCTGATATTCTATGGCCTTGAGAAGCAGGGTGTGTGGTTTCAACCATAAATTGGACAGATGCCTGTTACCTTTTTTCAGGTATTGGATTTAAAAATAATTTATTTCAAATTTGCAAATGGATGAATTTTTAAAAATATTAACAGGGAAATAATAAATTGGATGAAATTTACTTGTCAAGTTTATAAATAATTTTACTTTGGGGAGTAATCACTAATATTTATTGAAAACTAAAGTATAGAAATGAAATCTGAAACAAAACTTGCAACAGGAATAAATTTAAAATGTTAACAAAAATTCAGTATGTAAATAAAAGGAATGATTTACAGATTAGAATGAATTTATTTTGATGAAAGTCAAGTTTAATAGTTATATTTCAAATTTGGAACTATTTCAATTATTACAATAGTACTTTTTTAGAGAATTACTAAATATACTATATCTTAATTTAACAATTGACTAAATAGCATAAAAAAGAAAGAAAATTTATACAGTATTGTACAATAATACAATACTGTAGTTTCAACTAAAAATGAATGATTTGACATTGATCTTTTACAAAAGTAACTTAAGAATTAAATTTTACTCTTAAATAAATAATTTAAAGAAAGAAAAACAACAACCAAAAAAGAATCAATTAATTAAAAACTAATCAGAACTATTTTTTTATCTATGACATTTTAATAAAATTATTTAAAACAGTCTGATAGGCATTTTGCAATTTTTTAAGATAAGTAAACCATACATAAATTAAGCTTGAGCTTCAACAAAACCTGAGCTAGCCAATTAGCAATGTACAGGTAACCCCCGTATAACATGACACTTCTATAGCACGAATTCACTCTGATACGGTTCAAGAATTGGGTAAAACCCTCATACAACATGAAATGTAATAAATTTTTACATACTTTAATTTTCATGAACTATTAGTACATAAGTATGTAAATTTTCTTTTCTCGCTTTCTGTCGATACACATGGTCCTTCTTGAAACTTGTTTCAATGTTGCCAGATCGACGCTTCTGATGTTTTCCCCTTATTCCATACTTGCTTTATTCTTCATAAGTGCTTAGCACCGTATAAGGAAATTTATAAAGATCTTTTAACTAGAAGCAAGCAATCTAAAATTACATACATTTTGCAAAAGGTAAAGCATGGATCTGAAGATAATGCAGAAAAATGCTCAGAGGATAAGGATAACTTGCCAAAAAGAAAACACTCAGTTAATAGTGCTTTTAGTGATGACGAAGAAAACTTTGTTTAATTTATATTAATATTTATCACTTAAGAAAATTTTAATAAAGATATTGCTATTATATTTTCATAATTAAGATAATGTTTTTTAATTTTTGGAACCTAACCCTCCTTTTCGTACTAGTTCTTTGTTTCGTATAACACGGCAATTTTTTGGAATGTAACTCCTGTGTTATACGGGGGTTACCTGTATATGAAGTGTTAAATTATGTAGTATATCACTTTAGAATTTTCATCATTTATACTAATACATAGTTAAGAATACAGAATAAAAATATACAATGATTCTCCATCTTTTGGCTGTAATACATTTATAATGCTAAAAATGTCTACAAAAATCAAATAAGTCTTGCAATGCATGAAACATTTAAAATAGTGTTAAAAAATTATATAGATTAAATGAGAAACAGGCAAAAAAGAATCAATTTTCATAAATGATTTTAATACAGTAGAGCATTGATTATCCGACTCAATTGGGGACTGGGGTTGGTTGGATAACCAAAAAGTATGAAAAAATACATTATTAGCATAGTATATTAGTATATCCCATGTAATTAGTATATCGCTATTAACCTACTTTGCGTTGAATTTTCAACAATGTTAAGCCTAACAAAATTTTTAAAAATAATAATCATCACTATTGTATCATTAAAAATTAGAAAATTAAGCCTCGTTTAAATACTGGCCTCCCTTTCATGGTCGAGACAGTGTTGCCAGCTAAAACATCCAAAATTTAACAAAAATAATATTAAAGTAGCCAAGACATAGCCAAATATTGTAGCGCCACATCACTAGCAGACATTTGAATTTGCTGACTAAAACGCGGTCAATTAACCGATGTGACGATTGATCGGGGATCGGATAATCGATGCTCTACTGTACTACCAAAACTGAAACTGACAGAAAGAACCACCATAGAACAGCTTGAAATTTTTGTTTGATGGCTTAAAATGTATGAAAATTGAAATTTGACATATGAAAAGCAATTTAGGAGTATAAAAGTATAATGTACAAAAGGGCAAGTTATCTGAATGTTGACAGCTACCTATACAGGATAGAATAGAATAGAATAGACCAGGGAGCAGAGGAGTGAATGTTCTCTATCATAAATTTTGGCCTATATTGTGCCTATTTCAAACCTTTGCTCTTCACTTCGAGACTGGCTATGCCACTGCATAGAATATAGAATTTTAAAATTCATACCAATACTAATATTCTAAGTCATATTGTAAGATACATTACAATAACCAAAATACATTAATCTCTCAATTTAACACACTAATTGAGGGAAGGGACAACTTCTATTGCATAAAGTCCATTAAACTGAATGTTTTAAAAACATATCTTGACATTTTGTTGTTAATATGTGTTAAAATATTGTTATGATGTATAATAAATATTATTTTATTCATATTTATACTCATAGACTCTAATCCAACCTTTTAGCGTGCTCAATTCACAAATGAAAAGGTTTAAAATTTTTCATAATGGTCAGAAAATTTTTGTCCATTAAATTGAGGATTTACATAGATCAAAATTGATATTTAAAATACTGTAAAAATGTGTTTGAATTTATTGTACATTAATATAACAATTTTTTCAAATATTTTCATACAAAATTATTAAATTGCAGAACTTACCAAGTATAAATTTGTAATTCATTAGATGGAACATTTCCTCTTGAGAACTCACTCAAGGAATGATGTCTTCCAGTGTTGATAAAAACTCTCAACAATAATGGACAAGTCTAGAAAAACAGATAAAAATATTGGATGAAAATTGATGCAATCATAATTATATGCTTGTTTTTATAATACAAGCAAAGTGAAAAATAACTATCATAATATTAAGAATAATTTGGCTCATACATTGTTTAGCAATTTTTTCCCCTTTTATCTGGATACTTAAAAAAAATATGAATTTTCATGCTTCAGTTCTTTAGAGAATAATTCTTGATTGTTTTTGTAATGTTCTAATTCATCCAACAGTTTAAATATTAGAAAGATAACCTTTATTTATATATTTTTGAATAAGAGATTTTTCATTTTTGATCAATTGATTTACTGATGTTAAAAGAGACTGAAGTTCATAAAATTCAATAATTTAAATAGCTGATAATAGTTGTCTCCTATTTTATATATCTCAAAGTTTCTTTCAAAATGTTATTCAAAACAAAGTAAATGACAATGAAAATGCTTACTCTTTTATTTATAAGTGTAAACTGGTACTAAATTACAACAAAACTTCTATAATGCTGGTTTTAAGGCATATAGAAGTTTTGTTTAGTCTTCTTTTATTATATTTATACAGAAAATCCCAATAAAAATTGAAAGAAGTAAAAAAGAGTTTTTAAATGTAGGAATTCCACATATTTATTAGTCTGATGATAACAATATTGAACTCTATGTTAGCTGTCAATTCTTAAAAAGCTTTTATCATAATTAAAAAAAAATGAAAAAATAAAAAACTGAATATGAAATTTCCTAAGTATGTTACATAGTCATTTTTATTCCTTTAATTGAAACTGGGTCATCTTCCTTTAACTACCTTGTTAATGTAAAGTCCAAAACAATCTCTGTTGAAAGAGGCTAAATGAGATAAAAAAGTTAATGTTTTCAAGATTACTTTTAGCTTCAGATCCTGAAAAAAATTAAAGAAGTGATCAAATTTATTGACTAAATAAAACTGTATAGAATGTAAAACTTAGTGGATGAACATTTTCAAGATTTTTCTATCTAATTTAGGACTTCAATCAGGGAGTTGTTTCAGGCTTTTAATGACTTTAAAATGCTAATATTAAAGTCATAATTTATAGAAATATCTGCCAACTGATATATAGAATGGCTGCTTTTAGTATTTAGTTTACCTGTTTGTATCATGCTTTTCATTTTTTTGAACAGAAGAAACTTTTAAATGGGAAGTAAAAATGAATTCACTAATATCAAGTATGATATATACAGAACATAAAAAAAAAATATATATATTTTTAATATTAATGACCTACATTAATTTTAATGATTATAGTTAATGGCATTCCAGGAAATTTTCAAATGGATAACTTTTTGGGTTTCAACTGTATTTAATGAAATGATAGAATCGCTGTTCATTCATACATGAATAATAGCTCTTAGATAAGATAAATAAGCGGAACCATTATGCAAACATAATCAGAATTTGCAATTTGAAATCAAGAATGGATTTAAGAGAAGATTATAGATACTTTCATCTCTTCTATTGATCTGAAAAGAGAATTTCAAAAATTTAAATTCTTTAATTGTTTTCAAATGCCTCCTCTTAATGAATAATGAAAATCATAATGCATTTCAATAGATAAAACCCAGCTATTTAACAGTACTCTATTAAAATATATAGGTCAGCATTAAACATCTGAATAATTTATTGTCAAGACACAAAAAGATTGACAGATTTGTGTTAAATTATAAGTAGAAAGCTTCTACAATTTTAAGATACACTACAAGTACAGTATTAAAAAAAAGCACAGAATGAAGTCCTACAAATATTGATGAAATCTAGCACATGAATATTAAATTATTGTGCTATTGTATTAATTTAAAGCACAGTAATTAGTTTCCATTTCAAGTATTTAATCCTGTATCCAATCACTCAAATAAAATTAAATCACAATTCAAAATTAATTTCTACAGCAACTCTATAAAGCTTTATGAAACATTTATAATGCAAGATTTGTTTAAATTCAAATCATAGAATATGTGTTTATATATAAACAAAGTTTAGTAATCATTATATGGAAAATTTTCTCACCTATTGTCAAAATGCATAGTACAAGCACTTACAATTAATTGCATTGCATAAACTTATTTTTAAATATATTTCTGCTAGTAAATAGTGAATAAGAAGATTTTGATGAATTTTTATGATTTAAATAAAATTCATTTTTTAAAATTAATAAAATCAACATTTTATAAAAACATACCATATTAAAATATGACTTACTAAACTAAAAACAGACTAATATTTGCATGTTTTTAATACAATATTTATATTTTATCAAAATAATAAAAGAAATGCTTTTAACAAATTAAAAGTATAAGATATTATTTTTTTAATATCTTAATTTAAAAAAATAAAACTTCATTAAAAATAATTTCTGGTTATATAATTCAATTTAAATAATTTGGAGAGGATAAAATATTAATTTTCCTCGGTAATAATACTAATTGCTACCTAAATGAAAATTATGACTGCCCTAAAAATGTCACCATTTGAACCACTTTGATAGCAATGGTCTGGAAGGAGGATAAAATATAACATGCACTGACTGTTAAATCAATGCCAGCTATTTTGGAAAACTTTCACATTAAAAAAACTTCTTAATTTTTCACTTCAGAAAAGATAGCTGGAAGAGATTTCAGTAAAATTTGTAGTAGTTAAAATTAGCCTAAATTTGTTTATGTATGATTGAATCTTTTTTTGGATTGACATTTTTTTTCTTCTTCTTTTAAATTAAGAACAATACAATCTTTGTGAAAAACCTTTCCTCCCTAAGAGAAAATAATTCATTTTTGTTGGATATCATCTGTCACTTTAAATATTAAGATCATTTGTAAATATTTGTTAAAAATTTAAGTTATTAGGAATAGTGTCGACAAATACTCAAATTTATTTATAATCTTTATAAAGACATTTCTCAAGAAATTTTGATTATTTTATTTTTCATTAAATCAAACTATATTTTATTTTCTTTTTATATAATTCTTTGATTTATAAAAATAAAAAATAGTACATGATGAAACATGAAACTCCCATTGGATTATTCTGAGTAAAATAGATCTAACTCTAAACATTCTAGGAATAAATTGAAATTAATACTGACTGAAAGTCTTGATGAATTATTAGATGATTACTTAAAATTTTACCTGTAACCATATAGCAATACAATTAAGAATTATGTTACAATCCCAAACTACCTTGACACTTAAACAGGGGGAAAAAATATTCTAAAAGTTTTCAGACTGACCATCTTCAGATAATATTTGATAGTTTTTAAACACGGAGTTGGAAATCTAAATAAATTAAATGTTAGAGACTTGTTGCAATGCATAATGACTTAGTACACAAAGTTTAAAACTTTTAATATACTATATTTACTCAAATACATAAATAATGATGCAATTTTTTATAAAAATAATTAATGTTTTGCATTAAGTACATTTAGTAAGTAATTTTTAATAAAGATAAATTTGATCATGAAAATTTAAAAGTTAGAAATCTTAACATAATTAACATCAGGTTACTTTTCATTTACTTTTGTCAAGACATTATAAATCTATATCTTCTGAATGATAAATGAATCAAGGCTATAAACCCAAAATTATGAGAAAACATTTGGTTAAATAATCTTGCAACATCCTACATATATACCTACATTCCAGCATACACAGTGTACATATCTGAAGGTAACTTTAAATTCTACTTTAAAAATTATTATTATTTATTCCATACATACATACATGATTTATTTTTTTTCTAACCAACCATTCATGCAGGAAGCAGCAAGATAATAGCTATATCAAATGATTATTTTTTGTAATATTTATCTAACTCCATAATATATTTTGATTACAAAAAGTAATAATCAATTCGGAAATGATTATAAAAACAATTTTGAAATAAAATACCAACTTCTACAGAAAAAGAAAATCTAATCGATTTAGCTGTTATTATATGTACGGTACAATATACATATAAAATAATGCTATAATTTTAAAATATCAAATTCTTTTACCTTGATTATCTAAAGTATCATATAGAATTAAGTGCACCTTAACTTAATAAATTTGAATTTGATGATATTGAACTAGAATTATGAAATACAAATTTTTAAAATTACCTTAAAAGAAAAGTGAAATGACTTATTTGATAACAAAAAATGCAAACCAATAAACTAGGAGGAAAGTTATGAGCAATTTTTAAAAAAATATTTATATATTGCCTGCTATGATATACAGTCGACCCCCCTATAACACAGGTTCCTATAGTTCGGATTCCTATATGACGGCGAAAAAATTGCAACGGTATCCGTACAAACCTGGTAAAAAAACTCCTATAATTCAGTAAAACGTCATCAGGCAGCGAACTACTTTCCACCGTCCAGCGCCACGCTACGGAGAGGCGGGTAAATTGAGTTTACTATCGTCTGTACAGTATTATATATAAATTAGGTACAGTACGGTATATATAATTATATATTAACTTAATTTATTGTAACTTTATTATAATTATGTATATATACCTACCGCCGTCCAGCGCCACGCTACGGAGAGTTTAGGCAAGTAAGTTGAGTTTACTATCATCTGTACAGTATGTAAATTAGGTACTGTAAGTCTAATACAGCACTAATTTTATACATTTCTTGTGAAAGAAACATTTCTTATTCAACAGCCATAAAAATTATTTATATTAATGATGTCTCCAAAGTTCAATGAAGTTTTCGCAGAAAAATAACTTATCAGAAATTGCGCCAGCAGTTTGGTGTGCTGCTCTGTGAGGAAAACAAGCTTAAACAATGGCTTAAGCTTGTCGGATGGTGCACACTCGGTAAGCAATCCTACAATTTTTTGTTTATAGCATAGTTTATATGGATTATTCCCAAAAAAATATACGTGTTTTGGAAATGTTGAGTCGAATTAGTCTAGAATTGATTAATTTTATGGAAGAAAACCTTTCAAACAGCTGTAGTCCACAAACCTCACACTTGTCGGGCTGTGATTGGCAAGGTCTCCTAAACACCAATTTCATAAAAAACGACTGTATAGAATTAATGTATTATAGCCTAGTACAAGGGTGGCCAACAGTTTTTGCCCCCGGGCTGAATTGGAAAGAAAACTTTTCTCACGGGCCGAACCAAAAGCTGCCTAGGAAGATTTTCAGGTAGTGTGAGATCTCATTGTGGTGTCACCCTGTAGAGACTAAATTGTACATAGAGATCACAGATACATTTTTCACATCATCATGCATTATCAACATTCTACGCTGTGCTTAAGACATTTCTAATGGAGCGTTAACTCTAAACGCACAATGAGTTGTTCACCTTTTTTTTTTTTTATTTTTAGGTGTCAGAATTTTTCATCGAGCTATTCAGACTTGAGTAGCTAATATTGAAAGATTAATTGCAGGCCACATAAATTCATTACACAGGCCGTATGTTGGTCATGCCTGGCCTAGTAAATACAAATGCACACTGATTTATGTTATATATATTTCATATGATGAAAGATAATAATCATTAATTAACAAATGCAAAACAAGTGTTTTACAATTTTAAATGCAGAAGACTGTATTAAAGCTAGTTTTAATACGATCTAGTTAGTATTTGAAAAATTCATCAGGAAACATTTATAGCATATTTGCAGAATATTTTTATGAAACATACAGAGACGGTGTTAATAAAAAACTTCAATATTAAAACTATTTATTATAATTAATTATATATTTTTTCTTTTTATATAGTTTTTTAATTATTAATTACATTTCAAAGATTTTCAAATTACTATAAAGAACAACCATCAAATGACAGATTTAAATTACTGATTTCTACAGAATAATAATATAACTCAATTCAAAAGGTTAACCTAATCTAGTAATTGTCCAACATTTTAGATTAATTATGTAATGTTTATATTGAAATTGTATAACTCCTGTGTCATTTGCCAGAATTATTCAAAAATAAAATACCGTATTTAAATTTTGATTTTAAAAATTGATTTGTAAAATAATCAACAAAATCTCAGAATAGTTTCCCAGCAATTAACAGCTTGAAATAATCAACTGGCTGCTACCTAGTGCTGAATACTAGAAATTTTTGTACTTGGATATTTGTATTTTTCTTACCCGCTAACAAAGATAATTTGGGTAACACAATGTTGTAATTTTTTTCAACCTGGGGTCTGCAAATCCTACTTCTTGAAGAGTTCCGAGGAATAAAAAATGGTTCTCATAATATTTACCTTTATTAAAAACAGCCACTAAAGTTTAAATTAAAAAAATATATAGCCTNTTTAAATATATGAATTGTTTAATGGATTTTAATAATTTGATTAAAAATGTGATTATTTTGATATAAAAATATATTAAATGCAATTTAATATATAGCATTAGAGCAATGGATTTTAGTCTTAATTTCATGATTTCATTACTGAAAGATTTGTGTACTTTCTAAATTGACATTAAAAAAAAAATGCATAAAATTTAAAAAACTTTATTTTATGGAAAAAAAAATTATAGATACATCAAATGAATATGAAAATTTACAAAAATGTGTACAATTTTTTAATACGGGCGCCCTCCCCTACGAATGGGAGGTCCTCTCGAAGGAGGCGGAAATATAGCTATGTCTAAATAATCTCCAATCTGAAATCTAGATACGGACAGTGTTTTGTTATCATCGGTTCCTCTCTGTCCCGAACAGGTAGTGCCTATGTCTCGCATCCTATATCCTGGACCTCGGATGTCGGGAAACACCAGAGCAAAATCAAAGTAGGTTCCCTTTCTTCTAGCGTCAGGATTAACCTCTTTGACCAGACTCGTCAACTCTTTGAGAGTAGCATCCATCCTGGAATATTAGTTTTAATAATAATAATAATTCGTTAGGATTTTTTCAATAAAAGTTAAAAGCTAGAAAAATAGTTTGTAATAGGTTTACAGTATTAAGTTTTATTTTAATTTTTCACACAAGTTACTTCAACAATTAAGTTTGTTATATATACTGAAAACTTTTTACATTTGCCACTATATATTGTCAAGTGATACAATATATTTCCAGGATGGTATAGAATTTTAAATTTTCTAAAAACGTATATTCTATTTTTCTTTTGATAGTTCCTGCCATCTGTTCCCTATATTTTAAAAATAAAATTTACAGCTGTAACCCTATTCTAAAATGAAATATGAGACAACAGATGGTATTACAAGAAAGTATTGTAACCGAATATCTTCTTGTTATCTGATATTCTATGGCCTTGAGAAGCAGGGTGTGTGGTTTCAACCATAAATTGGACAGATGCCTGTTACCTTTTTTCAGGTATTGGATTTAAAAATAATTTATTTCAAATTTGCAAATGGATGAATTTTTAAAAATATTAACAGGGAAATAATAAATTGGATGAAATTTACTTGTCAAGTTTATAAATAATTTTACTTTGGGGAGTAATCACTAATATTTATTGAAAACTAAAGTATAGAAATGAAATCTGAAACAAAACTTGCAACAGGAATAAATTTAAAATGTTAACAAAAATTCAGTATGTAAATAAAAGGAATGATTTACAGATTAGAATGAATTTATTTTGATGAAAGTCAAGTTTAATAGTTATATTTCAAATTTGGAACTATTTCAATTATTACAATAGTACTTTTTTAGAGAATTACTAAATATACTATATCTTAATTTAACAATTGACTAAATAGCATAAAAAAGAAAGAAAATTTATACAGTATTGTACAATAATACAATACTGTAGTTTCAACTAAAAATGAATGATTTGACATTGATCTTTTACAAAAGTAACTTAAGAATTAAATTTTACTCTTAAATAAATAATTTAAAGAAAGAAAAACAACAACCAAAAAAGAATCAATTAATTAAAAACTAATCAGAACTATTTTTTTATCTATGACATTTTAATAAAATTATTTAAAACAGTCTGATAGGCATTTTGCAATTTTTTAAGATAAGTAAACCATACATAAATTAAGCTTGAGCTTCAACAAAACCTGAGCTAGCCAATTAGCAATGTACAGGTAACCCCCGTATAACATGACACTTCTATAGCACGAATTCACTCTGATACGGTTCAAGAATTGGGTAAAACCCTCATACAACATGAAATGTAATAAATTTTTACATACTTTAATTTTCATGAACTATTAGTACATAAGTATGTAAATTTTCTTTTCTCGCTTTCTGTCGATACACATGGTCCTTCTTGAAACTTGTTTCAATGTTGCCAGATCGACGCTTCTGATGTTTTCCCCTTATTCCATACTTGCTTTATTCTTCATAAGTGCTTAGCACCGTATAAGGAAATTTATAAAGATCTTTTAACTAGAAGCAAGCAATCTAAAATTACATACATTTTGCAAAAGGTAAAGCATGGATCTGAAGATAATGCAGAAAAATGCTCAGAGGATAAGGATAACTTGCCAAAAAGAAAACGCTCTCGGTTAATTAATAGTGTTTTTAGTGATGACGAAGAAAACATTGTTTAATTTATATTAATATGTATCACTTAAGAAAATTTTAATAAAGATATTGCTATTATATTTTCATAATTAAGATAATGTTTTTTAATTTTTGGAACCTAACCCTCCTTTTCGTACTAGTTCTTTGTTTCGTATAACACGGCAATTTTTTGGAATGTAACTCCTGTGTTATACGGGGGTTACCTGTATATGAAGTGTTAAATTATGTAGTATATCACTTTAGAATTTTCATCATTTATACTAATACATAGTTAAGAATACAGAATAAAAATATACAATGATTCTCCATCTTTTGGCTGTAATACATTTATAATGCTAAAAATGTCTACAAAAATCAAATAAGTCTTGCAATGCATGAAACATTTAAAATAGTGTTAAAAAATTATACAGATTAAATGAGAAACAGGCAAAATGAATCAATTTTCATAAATGATTTTAATACAGTAAGCATTGATTATCCGACTCAATTGGGGACTGGGGTTGGTTGGATAACCAAAAAGTATGAAAAAATACATTATTAGCATAGTATATTAGTATATCCCATGTAATTAGTATATTGCTATTAACCTACTTTGCGTTGAATTTTCAACAATGTTAAGCCTAACAAAATTTTTAAAAATAATAATCATCACTATTGTATCATTAAAAATTAGAAAATTAAGCCTCGTTTAAATACTGGCCTCCCTTTCATGGTCGAGACAGTGTTGCCAGCTAAAACATCCAAAATTTAACAAAAATAATATTAAAGTAGCCAAGACATAGCCAAATATTGTAGCGCCACATCACTAGCAGACATTTGAATTTGCTGACTAAAACGCGGTCAATTAACCGATGTGACGATTGATCGGGGATCGGATAATCGATGCTCTACTGTACTACCAAAACTGAAACTGACAGAAAGAACCACCATAGAACAGCTTGAAATTTTTGTTTGATGGCTTAAAATGTATGAAAATTGAAATTTGACATATGAAAAGCAATTTAGGAGTATAAAAGTATAATGTACAAAAGGGCAAGTTATCTGAATGTTGACAGCTACCTATACAGGATAGAATAGAATAGAATAGACCAGGGAGCAGAGGAGTGAATGTTCTCTATCATAAATTTTGGCCTATATTGTGCCTATTTCAAACCTTTGCTCTTCACTTCGAGACTGGCTATGCCACTGCATAGAATATAGAATTTTAAAATTCATACCAATACTAATATTCTAAGTCATATTGTAAGATACATTACAATAACCAAAATACATTAATCTCTCAATTTAACACACTAATTGAGGGAAGGGACAACTTCTATTGCATAAAGTCCATTAAACTGAATGTTTTAAAAACATATCTTGACATTTTGTTGTTAATATGTGTTAAAATATTGTTATGATGTATAATAAATATTATTTTATTCATATTTATACTCATAGACTCTAATCCAACCTTTTAGCGTGCTCAATTCACAAATGAAAAGGTTTAAAATTTTTCATAATGGTCAGAAAATTTTTGTCCATTAAATTGAGGATTTACATAGATCAAAATTGATATTTAAAATACTGTAAAAATGTGTTTGAATTTATTGTACATTAATATAACAATTTTTTCAAATATTTTCATACAAAATTATTAAATTGCAGAACTTACCAAGTATAAATTTGTAATTCATTAGATGGAACATTTCCTCTTGAGAACTCACTCAAGGAATGATGTCTTCCAGTGTTGATAAAAACTCTCAACAATAATGGACAAGTCTAGAAAAACAGATAAAAATATTGGATGAAAATTGATGCAATCATAATTATATGCTTGTTTTTATAATACAAGCAAAGTGAAAAATAACTATCATAATATTAAGAATAATTTGGCTCATACATTGTTTAGCAATTTTTTCCCCTTTTATCTGGATACTTAAAAAAAATATGAATTTTCATGCTTCAGTTCTTTAGAGAATAATTCTTGATTGTTTTTGTAATGTTCTAATTCATCCAACAGTTTAAATATTAGAAAGATAACCTTTATTTATATATTTTTGAATAAGAGATTTTTCATTTTTGATCAATTGATTTACTGATGTTAAAAGAGACTGAAGTTCATAAAATTCAATAATTTAAATAGCTGATAATAGTTGTCTCCTATTTTATATATCTCAAAGTTTCTTTCAAAATGTTATTCAAAACAAAGTAAATGACAATGAAAATGCTTACTCTTTTATTTATAAGTGTAAACTGGTACTAAATTACAACAAAACTTCTATAATGCTGGTTTTAAGGCATATAGAAGTTTTGTTTAGTCTTCTTTTATTATATTTATACAGAAAATCCCAATAAAAATTGAAAGAAGTAAAAAAGAGTTTTTAAATGTAGGAATTCCACATATTTATTAGTCTGATGATAACAATATTGAACTCTATGTTAGCTGTCAATTCTTAAAAAGCTTTTATCATAATTAAAAAAAAATGAAAAAATAAAAAACTGAATATGAAATTTCCTAAGTATGTTACATAGTCATTTTTATTCCTTTAATTGAAACTGGGTCATCTTCCTTTAACTACCTTGTTAATGTAAAGTCCAAAACAATCTCTGTTGAAAGAGGCTAAATGAGATAAAAAAGTTAATGTTTTCAAGATTACTTTTAGCTTCAGATCCTGAAAAAAATTAAAGAAGTGATCAAATTTATTGACTAAATAAAACTGTATAGAATGTAAAACTTAGTGGATGAACATTTTCAAGATTTTTCTATCTAATTTAGGACTTCAATCAGGGAGTTGTTTCAGGCTTTTAATGACTTTAAAATGCTAATATTAAAGTCATAATTTATAGAAATATCTGCCAACTGATATATAGAATGGCTGCTTTTAGTATTTAGTTTACCTGTTTGTATCATGCTTTTCATTTTTTTGAACAGAAGAAACTTTTAAATGGGAAGTAAAAATGAATTCACTAATATCAAGTATGATATATACAGAACATAAAAAAAAAATATATATATTTTTAATATTAATGACCTACATTAATTTTAATGATTATAGTTAATGGCATTCCAGGAAATTTTCAAATGGATAACTTTTTGGGTTTCAACTGTATTTAATGAAATGATAGAATCGCTGTTCATTCATACATGAATAATAGCTCTTAGATAAGATAAATAAGCGGAACCATTATGCAAACATAATCAGAATTTGCAATTTGAAATCAAGAATGGATTTAAGAGAAGATTATAGATACTTTCATCTCTTCTATTGATCTGAAAAGAGAATTTCAAAAATTTAAATTCTTTAATTGTTTTCAAATGCCTCCTCTTAATGAATAATGAAAATCATAATGCATTTCAATAGATAAAACCCAGCTATTTAACAGTACTCTATTAAAATATATAGGTCAGCATTAAACATCTGAATAATTTATTGTCAAGACACAAAAAGATTGACAGATTTGTGTTAAATTATAAGTAGAAAGCTTCTACAATTTTAAGATACACTACAAGTACAGTATTAAAAAAAAGCACAGAATGAAGTCCTACAAATATTGATGAAATCTAGCACATGAATATTAAATTATTGTGCTATTGTATTAATTTAAAGCACAGTAATTAGTTTCCATTTCAAGTATTTAATCCTGTATCCAATCACTCAAATAAAATTAAATCACAATTCAAAATTAATTTCTACAGCAACTCTATAAAGCTTTATGAAACATTTATAATGCAAGATTTGTTTAAATTCAAATCATAGAATATGTGTTTATATATAAACAAAGTTTAGTAATCATTATATGGAAAATTTTCTCACCTATTGTCAAAATGCATAGTACAAGCACTTACAATTAATTGCATTGCATAAACTTATTTTTAAATATATTTCTGCTAGTAAATAGTGAATAAGAAGATTTTGATGAATTTTTATGATTTAAATAAAATTCATTTTTTAAAATTAATAAAATCAACATTTTATAAAAACATACCATATTAAAATATGACTTACTAAACTAAAAACAGACTAATATTTGCATGTTTTTAATACAATATTTATATTTTATCAAAATAATAAAAGAAATGCTTTTAACAAATTAAAAGTATAAGATATTATTTTTTTAATATCTTAATTTAAAAAAATAAAACTTCATTAAAAATAATTTCTGGTTATATAATTCAATTTAAATAATTTGGAGAGGATAAAATATTAATTTTCCTCGGTAATAATACTAATTGCTACCTAAATGAAAATTATGACTGCCCTAAAAATGTCACCATTTGAACCACTTTGATAGCAATGGTCTGGAAGGAGGATAAAATATAACATGCACTGACTGTTAAATCAATGCCAGCTATTTTGGAAAACTTTCACATTAAAAAAACTTCTTAATTTTTCACTTCAGAAAAGATAGCTGGAAGAGATTTCAGTAAAATTTGTAGTAGTTAAAATTAGCCTAAATTTGTTTATGTATGATTGAATCTTTTTTTGGATTGACATTTTTTTTCTTCTTCTTTTAAATTAAGAACAATACAATCTTTGTGAAAAACCTTTCCTCCCTAAGAGAAAATAATTCATTTTTGTTGGATATCATCTGTCACTTTAAATATTAAGATCATTTGTAAATATTTGTTAAAAATTTAAGTTATTAGGAATAGTGTCGACAAATACTCAAATTTATTTATAATCTTTATAAAGACATTTCTCAAGAAATTTTGATTATTTTATTTTTCATTAAATCAAACTATATTTTATTTTCTTTTTATATAATTCTTTGATTTATAAAAATAAAAAATAGTACATGATGAAACATGAAACTCCCATTGGATTATTCTGAGTAAAATAGATCTAACTCTAAACATTCTAGGAATAAATTGAAATTAATACTGACTGAAAGTCTTGATGAATTATTAGATGATTACTTAAAATTTTACCTGTAACCATATAGCAATACAATTAAGAATTATGTTACAATCCCAAACTACCTTGACACTTAAACAGGGGGAAAAAATATTCTAAAAGTTTTCAGACTGACCATCTTCAGATAATATTTGATAGTTTTTAAACACGGAGTTGGAAATCTAAATAAATTAAATGTTAGAGACTTGTTGCAATGCATAATGACTTAGTACACAAAGTTTAAAACTTTTAATATACTATATTTACTCAAATACATAAATAATGATGCAATTTTTTATAAAAATAATTAATGTTTTGCATTAAGTACATTTAGTAAGTAATTTTTAATAAAGATAAATTTGATCATGAAAATTTAAAAGTTAGAAATCTTAACATAATTAACATCAGGTTACTTTTCATTTACTTTTGTCAAGACATTATAAATCTATATCTTCTGAATGATAAATGAATCAAGGCTATAAACCCAAAATTATGAGAAAACATTTGGTTAAATAATCTTGCAACATCCTACATATATACCTACATTCCAGCATACACAGTGTACATATCTGAAGGTAACTTTAAATTCTACTTTAAAAATTATTATTATTTATTCCATACATACATACATGATTTATTTTTTTTCTAACCAACCATTCATGCAGGAAGCAGCAAGATAATAGCTATATCAAATGATTATTTTTTGTAATATTTATCTAACTCCATAATATATTTTGATTACAAAAAGTAATAATCAATTCGGAAATGATTATAAAAACAATTTTGAAATAAAATACCAACTTCTACAGAAAAAGAAAATCTAATCGATTTAGCTGTTATTATATGTACGGTACAATATACATATAAAATAATGCTATAATTTTAAAATATCAAATTCTTTTACCTTGATTATCTAAAGTATCATATAGAATTAAGTGCACCTTAACTTAATAAATTTGAATTTGATGATATTGAACTAGAATTATGAAATACAAATTTTTAAAATTACCTTAAAAGAAAAGTGAAATGACTTATTTGATAACAAAAAATGCAAACCAATAAACTAGGAGGAAAGTTATGAGCAATTTTTAAAAAAATATTTATATATTGCCTGCTATGATATACAGTCGACCCCCCTATAACACAGGTTCCTATAGTTCGGATTCCTATATGACGGCGAAAAAATTGCAACGGTATCCGTACAAACCTGGTAAAAAAACTCCTATAATTCAGTAAAACGTCATCAGGCAGCGAACTACTTTCCACCGTCCAGCGCCACGCTACGGAGAGGCGGGTAAATTGAGTTTACTATCGTCTGTACAGTATTATATATAAATTAGGTACAGTACGGTATATATAATTATATATTAACTTAATTTATTGTAACTTTATTATAATTATGTATATATACCTACCGCCGTCCAGCGCCACGCTACGGAGAGTTTAGGCAAGTAAGTTGAGTTTACTATCATCTGTACAGTATGTAAATTAGGTACTGTAAGTCTAATACAGCACTAATTTTATACATTTCTTGTGAAAGAAACATTTCTTATTCAACAGCCATAAAAATTATTTATATTAATGATGTCTCCAAAGTTCAATGAAGTTTTCGCAGAAAAATAACTTATCAGAAATTGCGCCAGCAGTTTGGTGTGCTGCTCTGTGAGGAAAACAAGCTTAAACAATGGCTTAAGCTTGTCGGATGGTGCACACTCGGTAAGCAATCCTACAATTTTTTGTTTATAGCATAGTTTATATGGATTATTCCCAAAAAAATATACGTGTTTTGGAAATGTTGAGTCGAATTAGTCTAGAATTGATTAATTTTATGGAAGAAAACCTTTCAAACAGCTGTAGTCCACAAACCTCACACTTGTCGGGCTGTGATTGGCAAGGTCTCCTAAACACCAATTTCATAAAAAACGACTGTATAGAATTAATGTATTATAGCCTAGTACAAGGGTGGCCAACAGTTTTTGCCCCCGGGCTGAATTGGAAAGAAAACTTTTCTCACGGGCCGAACCAAAAGCTGCCTAGGAAGATTTTCAGGTAGTGTGAGATCTCATTGTGGTGTCACCCTGTAGAGACTAAATTGTACATAGAGATCACAGATACATTTTTCACATCATCATGCATTATCAACATTCTACGCTGTGCTTAAGACATTTCTAATGGAGCGTTAACTCTAAACGCACAATGAGTTGTTCACCTTTTTTTTTTTTTATTTTTAGGTGTCAGAATTTTTCATCGAGCTATTCAGACTTGAGTAGCTAATATTGAAAGATTAATTGCAGGCCACATAAATTCATTACACAGGCCGTATGTTGGTCATGCCTGGCCTAGTAAATACAAATGCACACTGATTTATGTTATATATATTTCATATGATGAAAGATAATAATCATTAATTAACAAATGCAAAACAAGTGTTTTACAATTTTAAATGCAGAAGACTGTATTAAAGCTAGTTTTAATACGATCTAGTTAGTATTTGAAAAATTCATCAGGAAACATTTATAGCATATTTGCAGAATATTTTTATGAAACATACAGAGACGGTGTTAATAAAAAACTTCAATATTAAAACTATTTATTATAATTAATTATATATTTTTTCTTTTTATATAGTTTTTTAATTATTAATTACATTTCAAAGATTTTCAAATTACTATAAAGAACAACCATCAAATGACAGATTTAAATTACTGATTTCTACAGAATAATAATATAACTCAATTCAAAAGGTTAACCTAATCTAGTAATTGTCCAACATTTTAGATTAATTATGTAATGTTTATATTGAAATTGTATAACTCCTGTGTCATTTGCCAGAATTATTCAAAAATAAAATACCGTATTTAAATTTTGATTTTAAAAATTGATTTGTAAAATAATCAACAAAATCTCAGAATAGTTTCCCAGCAATTAACAGCTTGAAATAATCAACTGGCTGCTACCTAGTGCTGAATACTAGAAATTTTTGTACTTGGATATTTGTATTTTTCTTACCCGCTAACAAAGATAATTTGGGTAACACAATGTTGTAATTTTTTTCAACCTGGGGTCTGCAAATCCTACTTCTTGAAGAGTTCCGAGGAATAAAAAATGGTTCTCATAATATTTACCTTTATTAAAAACAGCCACTAAAGTTTAAATTAAAAAAATATCAAATACTTTAAATTAAATAAAAATTTAAAAATATATATACCTTGAGAAACACTAGAGTAATGATTATCTAAAGTATCTAAAGCCCTCTAAGCATTCCATTCGTTACCTAAAGACATGCACTTTTTTTTTTATTTGAAAATTTTATTTTTTTAATTCAAAAATGTAATTTAATTTATGGTTTTTTCTTCCAATTTAAACAATAGTTTTTATTTTTTTTTTTTTATTTTTCTTTAAATCGAATAAATCAATGATAGGAATATTAACTATTACAGTACATGAAAATTTGTGAAATGTTGATTTAATACATGGGCATGATTTCTCAGAAATTAATTTTGGGATGGTGCACAAAATCAAGAATATACACAACATAGAAATATATTAAAATTTTTCCATAGTTGTCAAATACATAATAACCAACTTAAATATTTTTTTTGATTATGTCAAGTATGACAATGTTAAGTTAAATAAAATTTGTAACAGACTTATGTAGAATTTGGAAAAAAATTTCTTTAAGAAACAGACTGAAAGTTACTTTTATAACAAAAATATAAATAATATACAGGTACCATTCACTGACTTTTTTCATTGACAAAGACTTATTGTTCTTTTGCATTGAAAGATTATGTTACTTTAAAATTACTCAAAATAAGATCATCAATCATTATCATACTATATATATATTTTTTTATTTTACATTCCAACAATTAATGCACACACTTCTTTCACCGACAGTTGTAAATTATTCTCAAAACTTAAAATTCCACGACTAATTTTAAAAGATTTTTAGTTAATATTAGTTTTACATCTAATAGTGTTAATTATATAAAGAATTATTATAAAATGCAACATGGAGGAATGTGTTACCAACACCTCAAAAGGACTTGGGACGAAGTTCCTACTGTTGTGATCAATTAGCATACTTATGTTTTAAAGCATTTTGCAATTTTAGAAATGAGTTAATTAGGTAAAATTATAAATTTTTGAGAACCCCAAAGAATTTTATATTGATAAAATTTTTTCAAAATACAGTATTTTAATTCTTTCTAAACCCCTACACATTTACTATTTATGCCCTAAATTTGAGGTCATATGTAAATGAACTAGCTTAAAACTTTGCAAAAAATAAAAAAATTTTGGTAGCCTTTTAAAACTGTAAACACTATCACCACAAGTACAGTACCTTTAAAATCCAGTCCAACATTTAATCGAATGATGAGAAATATATGACAAATGTATTTCTCATTATTTGATTAAATGTTGAACTAGATTTTAAAGGTATTTGTGGTGTTAAATGAAAAAATAATTACAATTTTGATGGTATCACTTATCATTTGAATACTTTTAACTGTATACCAAAAAAAAATTTAATTTTTGATTAAATGTTTTCCAGTTTATTAATATTTTACTTTGTACATAATTCAGGAAATTTATTAATGAACAATTTATACATTTGTAACAAATCACATATATTAATAATAAGTTTTAAAAAAATTGTTCCCCCCCCTCCTTTTTGAAGTTACACAGTTTTCAAATTAATAACAGGATAAAAATAATTGGTTTATTTTAAATTTAAAATGAGCAATTTGAAAAAGACGACCACTTTCCACAAATTAAAAATCTTAGTTTGCAAAACCAAGTTTTTAAAAATCAAAAACAATAGCTTATCCAAAAGAACATTCAATTAAAAACAGCTTTAATTAATTAAATTATAGAAAATGTTTACTGACTTTTTAAAATACCATGTCTTTTAATCATCCTTTACTTCACAACTAGGTGCATAGGTAGACACCGGGCATCTTTAACATCACTCTTTATTCAAGAATATCTTACACGCCAATACGCATTTTGGGCATAAGATATTCACGAATAAAGAGTGATGTTAAAGATGCCCTGTGTCTACCTATACACCCAGTTGTGGAGTAAAGGACAATATATATATTTCACTATAATAATTTATTCATTTCAAAAAGCATTTAAGTTACTGTTTTTATAAATCTCATTTAAACCGAATGAAGATGATACAGGGAATCTGTACACTTACAAAATTTAAAGATTCATAATAAAACATTGAATCCATTCTACATTTAAATATTAGAAAGATCAGTGATAAACGAACGTGGCCACGTTGCAACTCATACAATGATTTAAATCACGTTCTGTAAACTGTAATTATTATAAACCATTTAAGAGTTATAAAACAGTTTTAAGATTCTTCATTTATTTTTATTTGTTCGATTAAACTAACCACGCCGCCAGTTCCTAACAAGAACACAAAGAAAAGTATACAAAATTTCTTGTTTATAAACATGTGACGAAATTCCATTGCTGATAATTAAAAAAGAAACATAAAAAAATATACCTTTTCTCGATCTATGGGCTTCTCCACGTCGGTTTTCTCCTCGATAACAGATTCAATGGGCATATTTCCACCCGCCATTGCCGCTGTGTTTAAGTTTGCGGTAAGTGTTGCCAGTTCTATATATATCGATTTTTTTTAACAGCACCACGTGATTTACAGATTTATCCCGTCTTCAAAAAATTTTTTACTTTATAGGGAAAAAAGGGAATTTATTGTTGATGACACAGAAAGTTATTTGCTTTCGAACGCGTTTAAATTTTTCACTCCTATAAGCAGCTAGAACACAGGTTTTAGACATGTGCTGCAACGTCTTCTATGCCTTTTTAAGACCACTACAGTAGCCAGTCCAATAATTAGAAATGCTTTTAATTAATGTAACTTTCCAAATAAAGAAACGAAAAGAGAATTGATTATTTTGACGTTTCTAAAAATTGATGCGCTTGCATTAAAGAAAGAAAATGATAAAATTCCTGCTAAATAGAAAACACAGTTTCTTCCCGTTAGACCGAACGGTAAAAGAAAACAAAAAAATTCTGTATTTACCGGATACATAAATTAGCAACAGCGAAACTGCAATTCAAAGATAAATTGAAAAATGCATTCGATCAGGGAGCAGTCTTATTAATTTAATAAATTTCTTTGTATTTTATTTTTTGTCTGGCGTCGCGACACGGGGAATGTCTCCCGGGAGGTCTTTTGTGGGAAATTGGCCCCTATTTAGGTGTTACTAATGTGAAGAAAACCTGAAAACGCCACGTGGCCGCACCCGTAGGTGAGGCGCAAACCCACGACCTACCAGTAATGTTATCCATTCGACCACTGGTGGGCTTTAAATTCCTTTGTAATATTTAGTTTATATATTTTTAAATTATATATTTTTTCGAAAGTTGCCCGAGCGGGTGTTTAATATGGCGAATTGAATGGCTCAAATCGTACAGTTAACGACGCTTTGAGATGTTTTTATAAAATATCGATTAAATAATTTCTTCGATAGAAAATCAGTGTAAAATTGAATTTATTAAAACTTAATCTTTAAAAAAAAATTGTATACTTTTGTGTGAAACAGACTGAAATAATAACTAGAATTTCTAAAGCATAAGCAAAAGAGAGAAATTGCTTAAATTACTGCCCTTTTTCACATAATTTATTAAACGATTCAACATTTCTTTATCGTTAATTATCAAATTTAAACAATATATTTTTTGAATCTGTCTTCCTTCTAGTTTTATCTATATTCTCATTGGTTTGTCCCGACAATTTTTCAAGTTTAGATAGCGCGATCGTTTATACTCTAAAAATATTTATACGGAAAATTTTCTATCCCGCTACAAACAGATTACTTCTTAATTAAATTACACATCTGTTCGTAAAATTACTTAAAAACACGGAATTTCGCTCTAACAAATAATGATGATAATTCATGCAAATTATAATTATCTGGCAACACTTTGACGTTTTTGTATTTACTTTCCTCCACCAGGTTGAACTAGCGAATAAACACAGAAAAAGAATAAAATACATAATGTATATAACACATCCTATTAAATATTCCAAATATAAGATTTCATAATAAAGTATATAATTTATCGAAATGCAGTGAAGCATTAACGTGAGATTAAAAGCGCACAATGTAAAAAGAATCTTTTAAGAGTTATTATTTCATTGCATTTTTCGAAATACATAAAAATATAAATGATTAATCTTGTACATATGGTTAGGATCCTTCGTCAAAAAATTTAAAACCGTAATATATTTTGGCAACGTCACAAAATGTAGTAATTCTTTATGGTCTTAAAATTTGTTGATAAATTACATTGCAAATAGGTTACACGGATGAAATCACACCATTTTTCTTTAATATTCTGATTACGACTACCCGAATTTTTACTTAAACGTTACAAGTGACGATAAGCCTGATATAATTTAGGTGTCACAAGGCAGTGTAGGAAAGCGTCTCTCGTAGTGAATGACGTAATGATCATTTCCTCATTTTTAGAGGTTCGAGCGTATTTACTTCCGGTAATATACTCATCTGCAAATTTAGTTGCAGATCATTTGAGAGAGAAATGACATCTGTCCACTTCTCAAACATACTTTGGCACAATTTTTTTCTATATATATAATAATGGCGCTTTTATTCTCTATTATGTTGAATTCAAAATTAGAATATAATTTTACTCAAATGTCCTTAACAATTCAATACTAATTAAAACGATTGAAGACAAATGGTCTTTTAAAGATCTTTCTGGCACAGATTTTAAGGACGTTTCTTTTACTTTAATATAGAAATTTGACTTAAGCTAGAACGTTTGCATTATCACAAATTATTCTTAAATAATTTTATTCTTTGAGTGGAATTCTAACCAAAATAACAGCTTCCCATTATTAGCCCCTTGTCTTATTTATGGACAAGGTTTTACAAAAATGAAATTTCTGGAATTTAATATATTTGAAAGATATTAAAAGTTTCAGTATTATTTCTAAGAGGTCCTATCATGGGTGTAATAAAGCCATTTGACTCAAGCCTAAGAATTAGACACCTTCAAAACATTTCTTTTCTGTCAGTTTATTATTTAATGTCCTTTTATTTGTATTTTAATATGTTGGAGCATTAGAAAGTTAAGAGTTCTGGATCTCAACTTCTGGGAGTCCCAGTTTCTGATCATTTTTCACTTTATTAAATACACAGTCATCTTTAAGCAATAATTATTGTATATTTTTAATAAAATTTTTGCTGTGCATTCATATATCATTTAGTAAAATGAGATATGAGCATCCATAAAATATTAAAAAAAATATGAAATATATTTTTCTTTCTATACCTAATTTGTATGACTAGGAAATATTGGTTTACATAACATGAGACAATTAAAAAAAGTAAAGAAATATTACCTATAAGTAATGATTAATTCTAAAAATAATCATCCTTGAAAATCATATCGTATTCTATTAATTATAACAGAAAAACAAAAATATGTTTAGAATAAAAATTTAAAATATGAAAAATTAACTGTTTAATGAAATTTGATTTATGTAATTCAATTAATCAATTTCATATGGAAACAAGGTTAAACAATATATTTTATATTGTGTTCAAATACAAAAGATGACTGTACAAAAATATTGATAAAAACATTTTCTTTGTTACATTTAATGAGTCAACAGATGTAAAGCTAGTTCCTCGTCTTCCCCTAGTGATAGTCCGGTGTCTGCTGGTTCCGAAGACCTCTCTTCCATCTTTTTCTTCTTTCTCCCTGGTCTTCCGCCTCCATCATCAGAATCTCCCTGGCAGCTGCTCCTCTTTGGGTTTTTCTTTTCTTTTGGACTTAATTTCCGAGAACTATTAAAGAAAAATCCATATGGCATAAAACATCTACAAAATTAATATTATATTTATAATTTTATAATAAGAAATAAAACAAGAAAAATAAATGCATTTAATGCAAATGGATTGTGAAAATAATAATTTATTAAATTAACAAAATTAATTAAAAACCTATTAACTATCAAATTACATCAAAAAATGAATTTTATTTGAGTAAAAAAAATTCTAAAATAAAAAGTCAAAAATGATAAAAACATTCTGAAATTATATACAACATAATCTATAGGAGAACAGAGAGAGATGCAATTTGATAGAACAGAATTAAACTTAATACAAAAAATAATTAATAATTAATATTAACGAGAAAAGAAATCTGATATCTGAAAAAATATATTGAAAAAGAATTTGCTGATATAATGTATGTATTTTTTCTTAAATCATGAAGTTTTTGTTGTTTTTCTAGGAAAAGGTTACATAAAAAATGTTATTTTTTTTAACATAATATATCACATGAATTGCTTATTTTATAATTGCAAGTAAATTAATTCAGAATTTTACAATAGAAAATAAAAATGATCATGATAAAAATTAAACAAAACTAAAAAATTGAATTTAGTTGTTTAAGCTAAACTAATTCAATTAACAATTTTAAGAAAGTTTTTTTTTAATTTTTTTGGAAAAGGGTCTTAAAGGGTTCTTTTAAGACCCTTTATCCAGAAAATTTAGAAACTTTATTTATTTACATTTAAAATTTTAGATGTTTCATAGAAATTTTTTAAAATTACATATACAAAAATTGTCTTGAGTAATGTCATTTTAACACAAACCCAGAGAGACAAGTAAAAAATTCTTTCCACTTTATGGATTGGAAAATAAGATTTATCCTTAATTCTAATGTATGTAAAACAAAAATAGCTAAAGTGACATATTCACATCACTCTAATACTGTATTTGAATATCTATAAATGTTATTTATAAGCACTCTTAGATTAATAGTAATCCAAAAATATTTGAATTTAGGATTTTTCAAAGAAAGATTCTAAGAAAATTCAAAAATTTGAATAAAAAGGCAGCATTTTAAAGGTTTTTGTGTCGAGGTTTGAGTATCAGGATTTTTACTTATTAAATTTTCAAAGTGTAATTTGCTAAATAAAGATGTTTGATGTCTTAATAGTAGTAAGATATAATTACTAAGAATATCAAATATTCTACATGATTTCATTAATATAGTAAGATATCTACTTTTATACACTAAACTTCAATATAATGCCTTTCTGTATAGTGCCATCCTGGTAAGAATCCACAAATACTTGTGAATGGACCTTCCTCAAAAATATTACAAACATTTCAGTATATGTGAATTACTAAATGTATGATTTTTAACTTCAAATTGTTATAATCATAATGCTTGACTTTCAAACTTAAACACTCAAATTTGTGCATAGATGATATTGCTATGCATAACTCTCATTGAGATATTTTCGTCTAGTGCCATTTTTAATAGTGAACAAACAGCAGGACTAAATTGAGGTTTGGTCATATTTTGAATCATTTTATTTTCCCTTTGGTGAGAGTTGATCTTGTAATTAAGATTGTATCTAATTACTACAGACTTTATTTAATGTCTGAAATTTATAAATGTGCAAATTTTATGTCAATTTAATTTATTAAAAATTCATTACTGTATGATGTTTGTTTAAATTCTTTCTGTTTTGTGGGCACTAAGAGGATCTGTATTTGTGCTCCATTTTGTGCTTGGCCAAAGCCTGTATCTATCATGGATTCTGATAGAATCATAATATGGTGTCAGCAGTAAAGGAAGTTCTACATTTCTGAAGATCTAGCCCAGATTTAGACTTAAATTCTTCAGAATAGTATGTTGATGCCTGGTCATAAATGATATTAACTTACATCTTGTCTATATCAAATTTAATAATTATTTTTAAAAATAAAAAATAAAAACTTATTTTAATGATTCTCAGCCTTTAATCAACACAAACTTTTAAAAACAGCAAAATTAATGATAATTATTAAATATTAGAATGTAAATAAACTTCAGAAATTGAATTTTTGCAATATCTATTACTAGTCGGAGTTTTGCCCGACTGCATTCAAAGGTCCAACCTTTGAGTTTTGTTGCTTTATAACACTACTTTTTATTTTAAGACATTTTGTAAACAATATTAGCTTTATTTTATTTATATATTTAAACTTTTAATAAAGAATAAACAATATTAAAAAAAAGCACTAGAGTTTAAATATCAAGGAGTTAATAAATAAATAAATAAATAAAAATAAACAAAATATATTTGAAAATCAATCATTTGGATGCCATTTTGTTGTCTGTGCATTGAAGATTAAGCTTTGATTCCTTTCAGTAAATAAACAATTCCATTTTTTTTAAGAATTTGGATTTTTTATGGACATTATTTCCTTTTGATACTGTACAGTTTCATTTTTATGCAACAAATGTTTCTTGTTGTAGAAAAATGTTTCTGTACAGTCAAAAGTTTGTTTCTATTCAAATATTTCACATCAGTGAGGTTTGAGTGATTTAATTTAATACATTAAACATGCTCAAACCTTAATATAGTGCACTCGTGAATAGCACCAATACCTACTTGTAAACAAATCTGCCCCATAAATATTAGGCAGAGATCTATTTATCAGTACAGCTTAATTCTGTATTAGAACAAATTGTTATTTTCATACTCCTAAACTCAAACCTGTATGTAGACTTCATTTAATATACAGTGGTGCCTTGTATAATGTACGTCTCGAATAACGGACTTTCTGCGAACAAGTGCGAATGATGTTTCCACTGTTTTGCTGTTGCCAATGACAATCTGCTATTTTTATAATAAATTATTATTATTAGAATATATTATTAGTATATCTGAAGTACAGAGCTCCTGTTGGGATTTGGCTTGCTCCCTTGTTTATTACATACATCACCTCAGTGCAGGGTATTTACATTTATTTAAGTGTTGTGCAAATCATGGCTTCTAAAAAATCAGAAATGTGATTTCAATTGAAACAAAGCAAAAAATCATCAGAAGGAGTAAAAGTTGACAACAACTTCCTTGTCAAATGGGGAGAGGTTCAGGAGTTTACCAACACTCATTATTCAAACATAGCTGAGGCCAACAGGATCAATGATCTCTACAATGACGTCCTTGCCTGTCATTTCCAACAGGTGTTGAAGAAGAGAGAGAAACAGACCACCTTGGACATGTTTTTCAAGAAGCCAGCTGCCAAAAAACAAAGGATGGAACAAGAGGAGTTGACCCTGCAAGCTCCGGTAGCTTCCCTTGAATTTGACTCCAATTAAAAAACAATAAAAAGAGACCTGCTGCAATGTGTAAAAAGTCTATCTGTATGAATGTGTGAAAAAAGTGTTCCTCCACCTCCTCACAACATCTGACTACCCGGCATAATTGGTGACTGCTCCATTTTCATTTTTTTATGGTACAGTTATTTTATGCCGCAGAATGAATTATGTGTTTTAACATGTATTTCTATGGGAAAATGCGTTTTGTATAATGGACTTTTCACTTAACGGATGTGCACCTGGAATAGATTAAGTACGTTATACAAGGCACCACTGTATATTATTCTTATTGTCTAAGAAACTTTAATTTAGGACCAAAATCAATTCAACACTAATTTCAGAGGCAAACAAATGGTGGCATTAAATTAAGGTTTAACTGTATTTATCCTCTTTTAGAAATAAAATTATTCCATCCTTTTCTAATGTTCTCATCTTAATTTTCTGATATGAGAAATTTCAATACAATTATTATTTAGTTTGATGTGTACTGTACATAATAAATAACTAACATACTTCATGTTTATAACAGTTTCTTCATCTTCATTGTCATAATCATCTTTGTCATCTTCATTATTGTCATTAACTCTATCAGGATTGGGAAGAGCATCAATATAATTTTCTAAAACTTCATCTTCATAATCATCGTTTTCTTTGAATTCATTATTGTCGTCCTTCTAAAACAGCAAAAATAATTAAATTCTAAAATATTAAAGATATGAAGATAATTATTTTTTCACTTTCTTTCCTGTAAATAAAGTAAATATTTGTATTACTATTATATACTTATCACCATCACCATAATTTAGTGTAAAAATAATTGCTATAGTACAATTTTAAATACATTATACTTTTGATCACTTGAGATATAAATGCTTATGAAGAATCATTAAATCATCACAAAATGCTTTATGACTCATCTGCTTTGCAGGTCAAGAGGAGAAAGATAATGATACACTGTTTTGAATGCAAGGTAGTTGCATGCATTGTTTCTTCATGTTTCTTTGAAACTTTACTTGTTCAGTTTACTAAGTATATAATTTAAAAGGTACAGAATTCATTGGGAATTTTTATTAACCACAATAACATTTTTCTCATTCATCCTGGATAATCTACATCTACTGTATATATTTTAAATATGAGATGAGAAGAAAATAAAACTCATAATATAACAATCTAAATGCTTAATTAATCTAAACATATTCAGAAATATTCAATAACTTCATTAACCACTCAACAGTGAGGGATGGATATATCTGTCCAGGGCGATCGTGTGGAAGTGGTGAGGGATGGATATATCCATTAAATTCTTTTGGGGGTAACGCCAAAAACTACTGCAAAAATAATTCACATAAAAAATGAATTATGTAACAATAAAAAAAACTTTTCTTTACTAGATATAACTGTTTACAAAATCTTTTTCCGAAACAGTAGTGAGAAAAAACGCATGGAAAAATACTTTAAAAATTTTCCACGTTTATTCTCCACTATTTTGGGGTAGCACCATACCTGACTATCCCACTGCTGAAAGGTTAATAAAAATTCATTTTGTTAACTTAACATTTGTTTATCTACATTTACTTAAAAATATTAGAATTTTGTATAAAGTTTTTTTTTTAAATTAAATTAATTTAAACATTATTATTAATAACTTAAACTGATAAATAGGCATTTTTCAGAGTAATCATTATAACTGCAAAGGACAGTAAATAGGTTTTTAGCCTAATGTTTTCATCATTATCATCAATAACTACCTGGTTTAGAACATTTGACATGTTCATAATCTATTTAAGATCTGCTGATCCTTCCAATGCATCCTCTATCTCTTTTTTGAATTCGCTTATAATGCATAATTTTATAGGACCTGTTTTAAAGTTTTGATTTTTAGAGTTAAGTTATATTATCATGATTGATAAAATTTAACTTTAAAAAAAAAATCTTCAGAGTTTTAATGAACAATTGAAAATTATTGTTGTCTTCTTGTCCATTCAGTATAATAAACCACTAATTTCGTATTACATTTTCTTAGTCAAATATATAATATTAATATTTGTCAACTGTCATTTGTTAATCTGAAAATCAACAGATTTTCTTCATATATTATTCTTATGCTTTGTATTTTAACTATTAGTTAAAATACAAAGCATTATTAAGTATTATTATTATTAGTAGTAAATGTAAATATTTTATTAAAAGTTATAAAGACTGATTTTAACTTCAATAATTTGATATTATAAATAAAATAAAAGAGTTTTGACATTACTGAGATTTCATGAAACAAATTATATTCTAATCTGTATTGTTACAATTCAAAAGACCAAAATTTTAAATTCTAGTTTTATATTGAAATAACTTTTTTTGTTCTTTACTTCCAAAGATACTAGAAATAAAGATTAATGACAATACTTCATAATTTGTGTGTTACATTATAAAATCTCAATAAAGTACACAGGCTACTTTGATTGAGCAAAACTTTTTTACATGCATTCAAAACCAGAGAAACTTTTAGACAATATGCATTTATGTAAGCAGAGAAGAATCTACAAAGAAAGTCAACTCTACTAGTGTTGGAACAGACATGCAAAAAGACTTCAAAATATTTTTGTATTACTAATTTTACTATTTGTTTTATTAATGTGGAATTCTGGCATGGTTTATGTTATACAAATTTTTGCTAGTCTAAATATATTTTTTTCATCAAGAAACATCAATTTTTAATTCTGTATTTATAACTAAAAACAATAGATATGAAGAAACACTCAAATCAACATCTACTTTCTAATGTTTCTATTTTGTAAGTTCTATATATTATCTTTTCTTAAAATATAACCATTTTAATTTCAAAATTTTTATTTTAGTATTATGAACAGAACATAGTTAACAAACATTTTTAATCAATAATCACATTTTCAAATAACCAAATGAATGCATATATTTAACAAATTTGAAATTAAATATGTTTAGAGTATATTAAGTGCACTAATAATGTCTCAAACATGTAATGTAATGTATTAATGTATTAAATACATCATTATTTAATCTAATTTATATTTATATTGACTAATTTTTGTCAGTGAAAACACTAAGTTAAAATATTGTAAATCAATAAATGCAACAATAATGATTGATTGATAAATAAATAACAAATGTAATTAATAAGTTCTTCATAAAACTTTCAGTTCAATTTATTTAAAACATATTGTTTTCTAGGAGTATGTAAAATTAAAAAATCCTGTTTGTACTTAAAAATTAAAATATTTTGTTAACACATAAAACTATATAATGATATTTGTATTCAGTTATAAAAAGGAGGTAAGCCTCTCTTCCTGTACAATGCTCACCTTTATTCCAATAAACATTTATTTATTATTATAATGATGTCTTATACAGATTAATAATTAGAAAAAACTATTAATCAAACACATTAACAAATAATGTATAGTCTATAAAATGTATTTAACTTACCTTACTACTAAAACCTTTCTCTTTCAATGCCCTTCTCTCTTCTTTCAATTTCATCTTTTTCTCCTGATTTAAAAGTTAAAACAAAGGATAAATTTATCAATATTTTACATTTATATCAATTTTTCAAAGTTTAATAACTAACCTTGTGAAGTGCTCTAACTCTTTCTTTAAATAGCTGTTTGTCAATTTTATCTTCTTCTTCCATAATTTTTCTAGCAAGTTCCAAATCAAAAGATGTACTTTCTTTTTTAAGTTCTTGAGCAAATTCAGATTTTTGTTCACTTGGAAATGTGTTAACAGGCTAAAAATCCATACAAAATTTCATAGTTACAAATGAAACAACAAATTAAAGAAAATTTAAAAAAAAAGTCTTCTCACTTGGCCTTCATCATCATATGTTATTTTCTTGTTTGGTTTTACTTTTTTCTTCAATAATTTCTTTGCAACAGCTGATTTTGTTAAAGGTTTCTGTTCCTTACTTTTTGATATTAACTATAAAAACATGTTTAGAATTAAAATTAAGATATTCACATATGCAAAATATACAAATTAGCAATATTTCAAATGAAATTTATATGACTAAATTTTATACAACTTTAAAATGACTTTTGAAGTACTTTAAGTGCAAGTTATGTGAGATTAATTATAAATAAAATCTTTTTTTTTTTAGATATATACAACATATATACATCTAATACCAAATTCTTCACACTCAAACTGAACAATAACTAAGAACATGTCAGTAATCATATCTAATCCAGAAAGGTAACAACAAAGCAGTTCAAACCCACACTGAAAATCTTTGATGTAGATTTGAACTGTTTTGTTGTTACCCTGTTGGATTTGATATAAGGTTACTGAGATGCTCATATATAGATATATATATATCATACAAACATGTAATTTAATTATGATAAGCAAATACTACAATATTTATTATGCTGTAAATCTGTAATTTTTACTACTGTAATTAGGAAACTAGAAGAATGCTACCATTTAATGTTGAAAGATTTAATATGTTTACTTTACACATAGTGCATAATACAATTATATATTTTTTACATATTTATAGGTTATAATTCCTTCATTTCCTGTGTTATTTGGATTTAATGGACAATTACTAACAGTAAAAGTTGCTTGTTTTATCAATTCATTAAACTGAGGTTAATTATATTAAAATTTTCACAACTTACCTCATCCATTGCTTCAATTTCATGATCAGATTCTTCTTTATTTTGTTTTGGAATTAATACATCATCATCTGATTCTTCCCCATGAAAATTAAATGCAGTCTGTGATAAAGGTTTATTTAAATTTTCTTCATAATGTGCATTTTCCTCTTCACTATCCGAGTGAAGCATCAAATCTTTTAATTCATCCGTAGTCATATCAACATTTTCTGTGTCTTTTTTAGAATTTGCTAATTTTTTCTGATGTTTAGATAAAAACCGAATTCTTGGTGCAACAGCAAGCCCTAAGGACCTAAATTATTTGTATTCAATAAAAATGTTTCCCATAAAATTTAAAGAATTTTTACTGAATATTTAATTTAGAAAAATTATGTACCTTGAATATGCTTCTGTATCCAGCTGTTTTATATTAAAAACATTTTTGTCTTTCATTAGAAAAACATTCTTCAGGTAAGATACAAAAGCCTACAAAACAAGACTATTACATTCATTGAATGCTTCAAATTTGTTTTATAATAATCTGGACATTTCCTCACCCTTTGAGCACTTTCTTTTAATACGTGATCACGAGAACAGAGAACTTCTATTTTTTTCTGAACAGACATGAATTTCTTTTTGTTGATGCTGCATTAAAAATTTAATATATTAATGTATCAAGGCTCAAAAGCAATTAAATACTTCAATTAGTATTTTGATTGTAAAATTTTTAAAAAATCATCAGAATCTAAACAAAACTTACACAATACAATTTTTTTTTCCATAAATAAAAGTTGAAATTATATTTAAAATATTTTTAAGAAACAATACAAAACAGAGAAAAATAACATTTATCTGTTTTTAAAATCTTAGTAAAAAAATTTAAATTATCCTGAATTAATACATAATAAAATAAATAAAGCATGCAGTTTGATTTAGATTTTATGAAGTATTTAAAAATTTTTTGGAAAATTCTGAAGTGTTTATAATTAAAAAAAACATATTATGATAAATCTGATATCCTTTTGTAACTTTAAAAAACTTCTTTCTCAGATACAAAAATTTAAATATAATTAAATGATAAACAGAAAAATGCAACACAAAAATGCATACATTATTTTTTTAAAGTCTCCATCCTGTGGGCACTAAAAGGAATCTTTTTATCAGGCCAATCATGGGTTTGACCAGGCCCACAATGGTGGGTGTGGATGGTGAAGAATAGAGTCCAACATATCAGGGATGAACCATTCTAAAAAAATTACTGGTGGTTTTTGGCCTTCTGCATTCATTCCCAGTGTGATAGGCTAACCATAAAACCATTTGGCCATCTCAATGTCTGTTTTAAAACTGTGTAATATTTATTTCTATCGGGTTTTACTACCATTAGACAATGCTTTTAAATATAAATTCCCAATTTAATTTATAATAAAAATTTTATATGATTTAAATACTTCATAAAAATCAAAATTAAAAACGCATACTTCATTAACTGAGTTATATTACCTGTTCTTATAGAAAAAAAAATTTTAAATCAGAGAAACTCTACTGCTTATACAAAAATTGACTATTCCCCCCTTTTTAAATACATTGTTTTTTCAAACAGAATACTAATTTTATATTAATAACTTCCTTTTCTAAATGTAATGCATTTGAAAAATTTTGTTTCTCTTCAAATGGTATTGCATAACAGAGAGATTAGTTCTTACAAATAAATAAAATCACAAATCTGAAAATTGTTTCAATTCTCTTGACTTATAATAATTATCATATACAATACCTTATTTCTTCAATAGGAATTTTATTTTCAATCAGTTGTTGTGCCATTGATTTTTCAGAGGGCAATAACACAAGTAATGCTTCACCATTTCCTTCGTACCTTTAAATAAATACTGATATGTTATTTTTTTTATTTTTAAATTCATGCATATCATTTAAAATATGTTTTAAATTGTAAATTATATGTTAAAGAAACCTTGCAGTCCTTCCAACTCTGTGAATGTAAGTTTTAACATCTTCTGGACAATCTAATTGTATTACCCAATTAACGGATGGGAAATCTAGTACATGGTAATGTCACAATTAATAAAATAATTCAAAACTTTAAGTTCCGAATAATATTTTGGGATTTAGAATTTCAATTAATATACCTAATCCTCTTGCAGCTATATCGGTAGCAAACAAGACAGCATGCTGTTTCCTACAGAATTCATCATAGATAGACATCCGTCTAAGTTGATGTAAACTTCCATATAACGCCATAACTGTCATTCCAGGCCTCATTCTGCAGAATGTTTCGTACGTATATTTTACCTAATTAAAACATTTGCATAAAATTATTAAGCTAATGTAGTAATCAAACAATTTATTTCAACAATTTACCTGTTTGCAAGTTGCCATAAAGACTAAAATCTTTTGTTTCAAATGAGTTTTGATGAATGACCATAATAAGTTTAATTTATCATGCAGATCACAAATTATGTAATTCTGAAATATAAAATCATTATTAATGAATTATTAAATTTTAAAAAGAAGGCAGCATACGTATTTAAATATGGTGTTTATATTATTTATAATCAGTATATACTATATACTGATTATACAAATGCCTTGTCAACAATTATAATTAAAATTTAAAACCAAAAAAAAAAACATTAAATTAGAGTAAAAGCATTTTCACATTTGTCCCCTTGCACATCTTGGGAGTTTATAAAAGTAGTCTGAGGGTCAGAATATAGACAACCTTTATCTGGATGCAAGTCTCTCTAATTAAAGGTCAAGTCTATCTTTGTCTTAATTAATAAGTATATACTACAATTTTTGTATGTATTTACTTAAAGTATATATTTTTGAGAAAACTAGTTTCTAAATAAAATCTTCGCAGATTTATGAAGTTTCCTAACAATTATCTTAACAGCAATTACATTTATACAGCTGAAAACTCCAAAATTGTAAGAAACTTTATGGAGATTTGTTTATTGCAGTAATTATTTTGATTATTTTTATGCTTGCTAAAACAATCATTTTACAGTCTTGCTGCATTAAACTATATTTCGATTTTGTGAAATTTTTCTACTCTAAACTTTAAAAATGGCGTAAGTATAAGTACAGGTATACCTCGCCTTACGTCGGTAATTGGTTCCAGGAGAACGACTTAAGTCGAAAAACGATGTAAGTCGAATTTACTTGTCTCCAAATCTACTTGTCACTAGGCTAAACCATAAATTGCCAATTCCAGGTCTGTATTTTATTTAGTAATGCATTTTTAATAATGTATGGTTAATAAAGATCTATTTTAAGCTTACAAACAAATAAATTTTAGTTTTTAATATAGTACAGAAAAANAAGCTACAATAATTTATTTCTTTATTCAAAAAATAAATTTTTTACTTTATTTTGATTCAGTGACTGCCAATTATTAAAACTTTAAAAAAGTTTGTAACATATTAAATAAATTGATTTGTCTTCTTACCTCTAACATTATACATTGAGCATTTACAAGAAAAATGAGTTTACAGCTGCATACCTAAGTGAATAAAGGTTTGACTTCTGTCCTGTATGTTGTGGATTTGAATCTTACTTATTTGACATTTTTCTCTAATATGTGTTGAAACAGATTATTACTACAATGTATATTTTTATATTTGTAACAAAGAAAAATCACTGTTTTGTAATTATAATATTTATTTGCTATGCAATAAAATATTTCAAATTATTTTCCACTTTTTCACAATTTTTATTTCTACAAAATTATATTATATCAGCAATAAATGTTGAATATACAGAAAGTTCCTCTCTGATCTCTAGTCTTGAATTGTAGCAAAATAAGTGACTTGTGGGTGTATGCATGTATGACTTGTGGAAGAATAAAATTAATAAGAGAGGATAGGGAAAGAAAAACAAAATCATATAACTGGTATGAGATTTTTTACCAAGTAATACCAAATGAACATGGAAAACTCTGCTCAACTGAATATAAATGATAGGATACACAAAACACAAACATTTTCATCTCTCTTGTCCCATTGTACTCATATGCATTGCCTTATGATATTTATCATGCAGTTTTCCTAAGTTTGTATTCTTTTCTTAATAAAAGTACTAAATACAATATTCCAAACATGGATAAACATCCTAATAGTAAGCAAAAGAAAAGTTTTAAGTATTGAGGAAAATCTTGAAGACTGTACAAATTTTGAGCATTCTTGTTATTTTTATTGATAAAACTTCCATGATACTGTCATTTTTAGGAACAAGCATACTGTATCACAAGATAATAGATATTTCAAATCCCACAGATCCTACAAAAATTTGCTTGGATCCTTGATGATAAAATATAAAATTTATGTTCATATATTTTATGTTTCAATATTAATTTCTTCAAATGTTAAGATGAAATTAATCTAGATACTTTCAAGAAATATGATGCAACTGAACGATATTTTTTTATTGTAAATTTAAAGATGTAAACTTGTTTTTGCATTTAATTATTAAAAAATATTTAAAATTTATCATCTTTAATAAATATGTAAAATTAGATGTAGTTATTTAAATAAACATATATAAATAGACTTAACAAAATAAATTAAATTGAATAAATGAAATAATATTAACTTACCCAACATTTTTAAATGTGTACAATCAAACAGAGGATTCTCATCCATATGCTGAAGCAATCTTCCAGGTGTGCAGATAATTATATTACATTTGTCCATACGTTTCCGTTCAAATTTCAAATCCTTGTGAATATATAAATTATCATTATTTAAAATACTCCTGAATTTATATTTATACAAATTTTTAATTACTGTTGTTATGTTTTTAGAAAAGTAATAATAAAAATTTTATAACAAGCATATGTAACAATACAGGACATTTAATAAACATTTATCTAAAATTAAAACTATGCAATGATGAGGTGTATATACAGTACGGTCTTGTTTTATGCAAGGGTTGTATATCAGCACTTAACAAGTAAATTTTTGCACACTCCCAAATAATCCTAGATGACAGTCTAAATACTTAACCAATCACTTACAATTAACAGAAAATGTTAAGAACTGTTTAAATTGTTTTGCTGTATATGATTTTCATAATGAATATTATCAACATAAATATTAATGTCAGAATTAAATATGTATCCAAGAGGCTTTCAATATGATCATAGCTTAGAACAGGGGTGTCCAACCTTTTTGTTTCTCTGGGCCACATTGGAAGAAGTCATGGAGTTCTGGGCCACAAATATATTGTGACCCAATTTTTAAATATACAAATATATTTAAGGATTTACACGTCTAGATTATAGTAATAAGTATTAAAACTTTATCACGAAAAAGGATATTTTAAAAAAATTACTTCTACGGACGCTTTTAATTTCTACTTAGAGATAGATAATTTTATTTATTATAAAGAAGTCAAACAAAAATTTATTTGAAAAACACAAATATTTGTTTTATTTGAGTCCTTAATTAATAAAACAACAATGAAACACCATTTTAAAGTGCATTTTTATCCAACTAATATATTTATAAATAATATGTAGCCCAAAATGTAGCCAATGCGCCAAATGATATTTTTTTTTACGCCAAACTAAAAACAGGGTACCTAAATTTGGCGCAAAGTTGCCAAATCTTGCAACACTGAAAGGAATATTAAATAAAGCTAGAGTTGGGATTCAAAGGATTATAGACCCAAATTCGGGGGAAAGAGAGAAAGGTCAAAAGATAAGGAAGTGAGAAAGGTTAAATAGACCTTCTGTTATGTAAATATTGATCTTTAATTTTCCAACCTTTCTCACTTCTTTTTATTTTTTGGCCTTTCTCTCCTTTCCCCAAATTTTGGGCTGTAATCCCAAAATTTGGGGAAAGGAGAGAAAGGCCAAAAAATAAGCTATATACTAAATAAAGCTTTGAGTCATGACTCCAGCTTTATTTAATATTCCTTCCTCTTTTAGACATTACAAATATTTGAAAATACTTCCTTTCTATTAAAAAATAAAACATGTATAAAGGTTTATGGTTTTGTAAAACTTCTTTTTTGAGGTTTATGCCGTTGAAATAAATAAATAATTTAAAAATTTGTCGGTTTTGTTTACACGTTTATTGGGCCGCATTGGAACTTGCCTTGGGCTGCATGTGGCCCGCAGGTTGGACACCACTGGCTTAGAAGATTAATTTCTTTTTTTAGAATTTATTGAATTTCCAAAATAAATTATTCAAGCTAGAATTTAATTTTAGTTTTAATCTAATTCTACAAAAATGTAATTTTTTCCCTATTTTTTAAAGCCAGTATAAAATCTTTTAATTGTTCGAATAATAAGTTTTCAATTTTTTGGTAGCTTTCTTGATAATCATTTAGATTCACTCCTACTGATAAACCTAGTATGACAATATTAAAAAGCATTAACTATGGATAAAGAATTACATTTTATAAACTGTAAAACTTACTTTTCCACCAATAATCAGACCAGCTGAAAAGTCATGGTAAGCTCCTATTTTACGCAAAACTTCAAAAATCTGATATGCCAATTCTCTTGTAGGTGTGATTACCAATGCACCTAAGCCATCGTAAGTGGTCCATCTTTCCAAGTAGAGACTCTCTAAAATCTAAAATTTAATTAATTTTCAGTTAGAATTTTAAACTAGAATTCCACCTTTACTACTATAGTTTAAATGACTTACTGGTATTAAAAATGCTAATGTTTTTCCTGAACCAGTTTTTGCAGCTCCTAATATATCTCTTCCTTTCAAAGCTAATCCAATACATTCTCTTTGAATGTCAGTTGGTTTTTCATACTTGGCATCTCTCAACCCTATTTAATAAATAATAAATTAAAATTTATGTACAGTATAATAATTAGACATTTATAATATAAGTGCCTGAACAATTTACAATCTACTATGAATGATAAACTGATAATTGTTAAGAGAACACAACAACTTTAGAAATTGTGATTATTTCTATAGCTACAAGTATTAACATCTTTGCTTTTATTATCAATTTTGCATGTTGACGTGTGTCACTAATATTTTAAATGTGCACATTACATTTTTTATTTTACCCTAGGACAGGGGTGGCAAACCTATGGCATCAGAAGAATCATCTGGCATGTAATGTGCTTATGTTTTCAGTTTATCACCTGTGGTTTTCAATTATCCTTTCAGTTTGTCATCCGATCACTCTTTTTCAATCAGCCTCTCTACATTTATTTTAATTAAAGCATATTCATTTCATTTCTATAAATATCGTTATTTGAGGTTTAAAATTTTGGCTTGCATAAACATTTTTAAAGATAAATATTATAACTATATGGCATGCGAACTTAAAAAGTTCGCCATCCTTGCCTTAGGATGTGTGAAAAATTTTTATTTTATATTTGAAATGAATTTAACATTTTAATAAATTATAAAATTACCTTTTTGTGTTTTTTGAGATAGAGGAAAATCTCTGAAACTCTGAATTGTTGTTTTTCCAATCTGAAAAATTAAAATAATATCTTTAATGATAAGAAATTTCATACATTTTTACAAGTGAAGTCACTTAACATATTAGAGAGGTTGAGGCTCACGTTTTAAACGTGTAAACGTGTACGTGTGACGTTCGGCGCCGCTTTCCTGTAAGCCTAAAAGTTTGACGATGGTGTTTGGAATGTCGAGCGTGATTCCACCGACTATCCAAACACCATTGTCAAACTTTTAGGCTTACGGGAAAGCGGCGCCGAACGTCACACGTACACGTTTACACGTTTAAAACGTGCGCCTCAACCTCTCTATTGGTAAACTTACTGTTGATACATCTTTTATTTATTTATACATATAGGCCTAAATAAATGATGTTTCAATATTATTTGTATCACTTTTATTATATGGAGAGATAAGTCTAATATTGATGAGTTCATCCAAACCATGAGAGACAATTCATATGGAGTGGTTCTGGAGTTGTGATGACAGTGCACATTTCTTTCAAAGGTAAGAGCTTTGACATAAAATGTACTATAAATTGGAATTTATTCCATTATTTATACCAATCAATTTTAACGATTGTTTTAACTATAAAACAGTGGCCTTAGAGCCTTACAAAAAAAACCTAAACTCATTGTAGTAGAATGGAAGACATTAGAATAGAGCTGAGTTGCATCACTACAATGCATGGCTACTCTAAAGGCGTAATCTTTAAGTTAGTCCACAGGCAGGAAACAAGAGGAACACAATTTAACAATGTCCAGAGAGGTGCTCACATTGATAATGCAGTACTACAAAAATCTATTTTCCACCATATGACTGCATGTCTATTATATATAAGGAATTGCATCATATGTGGGTACACAATTAACTTAGACATAATCCCCACATGTTTAAGCTTCTTAGAAATCAGAAGAATCTAATCAATTCCAGCAAAGAACCAGGTATTTATAAGATACTTCTAAGAGATGAATGGTTCCAGAGAGAATCTACTCATATATAAATTCTACCAAGAGGTTCCTCAGAAAGTATATAATGGTGTACAAAGCTGATATAGATAGAGGCAAACCACCATTCTCTCAATATAAGCGAGTGATGAAAAATTAGACCTAATTTACAAGCTACATTGATTACAACAGTGGCAAACATGGACCAACTCAGTGTACTGGAGATGCTTGAGATTTTTGAAGACGACTTGCAGGGGCAATGTATAAACTTTAAGAAAGAGAAGAGGCTTTCCCAAGCATGGCAAGTCCTATTTTATACATTATTATAAAACCGCTTTACAATATCTATGTTAGGATGCATCTTATTGGTTAATTTTTGGTTTTTTAAATTAAGATCTCAGGCTTATATGTTCAAAAATGGAAGACACAGAAGTTCTTCTGTCTTCCATTTTTGAACATATAAGCCTGGGAACATCATTCCATTTCTTTTGGATTCCATTGGCATTCCATTTCTTCAAAAATTCTAACTTGAAGCAGATCTTAGACGTAGACCAAAAACATGTTTTTCTGGACTTTCATCAGTTTGCTAGGTGAATTTCAAGTTTACAAAGTTTTTAATCTGTATATTATTGCCCAGTTTTCTGACATATCAAACTTTTTGACATTAGAAAGTCCAGTTTATTTGCTCCTTGGTTTCAGCCACAAAAATTCATATATTTATTAATGTTTCTATGCTTATGATTTTTAAAGAATGATTCAAGATTACAAATTTTAATATTTCTCTTACAAAGCAATGTCAATGTTACAACATAAAATTTGTTCTGATTTTATCCTTATACTTTCATAGCAAAAGAATTGCTCTTATGTGTTCTTAAAAACTAGTAATTAAGCTTTAAAGTATTACTGAACATTTAATTGTACTTTTTATGTATTTTATTCTCAATTATATTATTTTTTACTTAACATTTCTTTGATATTGAGTTTAATATTAAAATTCCCTAATACAAATTTAAAAAATTATATTGAATTTCATCAATTATTAATTATAAAATAATTTAAAATTGAAATCCATGAAAGTATTAATTAATTAATTGCAAAATTCTTCAACAGAAAAAATATTCCATTAAAAACTTGCATTCTGAATATTAGTTTTAATATCTGAACCATTTTGTCTTCAGACAAAATGGTTCAGATATTAAAACTAACAATCATTGTTCTTAACATTCAAATTAATTTGTATGAAGCACAGGCTTGAAAGAATTTACAAATCTTAATAATTAGTTTTTTTGCATTACATTAACTTTTAATCATTTTTTAAAATTAATACAGTCAATCAACCCCCTATAACGCAGTAGATACGTTCCACTTTATAAGAATTTTGTGTTGTAGGAATCCTTAAATACATGAGCCAATCACAGCCCGGCATGTGTGCAGTTTACCGACTATGGCTGTTTGAAAGGTTTTCTTCCATAAAATTAATCGATTCTAGACTAATTTGACTCAACATTTCTAAAACACGTATAATTTTTTGGGAATAATCCGTATAAACTATGCTATAAACAAAAAATTGTAGAATTACTTACCAAGTGTGCACTGATCGACAACGCCATTGCTTAAGCTTGTTTTTATCGCGGAGCAGTGCACCAAACAGCAGGCGCATTTTCTAATAAGTTATTTTTCTGTGAAAAATTCGCTAAACTTTAGAGACATCATTAATAGAAATAATTTTTATGGCCGTTGAATAAGAAATGTGTTTTTCACAAGAAATGTATAAAATTACAGTACTGTATTAGACTTACAGTACCTAATTTATATACTGTACAGACGATAGTAAAGTCAAGTTACCCCGCCTAAACTCTCCATAGCATGTAAGTAGTTCGGCTGCTTGTCCACCATTGGTCCAGATTCAACCAATCCTGTCACAACACAAGTCGGCGATGATATTTTACCACATTTTACAAGTCTCTTTTAGTGTCTTTATATGAATATGGTCTCAATTTTTTCGCCGCGATATACGAATCCGCATTATATGAACCCGCGTTATAGGGTGTCTACTGTATATTGATATAGATGTAACTATGGAAAATAAAAGGTTGCTTCTGGAGAACTTGTATAATTGCAGGTATATAAAATATTAAAACCCTTAATATAGATCCTGAGTGTAGAAAACTGAAAGATTTTATTTTTTATAATTTTTTGTTTGTAGTGATCACATTTAATATTACTAATGGAAAACTTTTGTATAATTAACTTCTGTTTTAAGACAAAGAGGAAACCTTAATAAACTCAAGCTGTAAATTAAAAAATAAAATAAAATTTTGTATATCGAAATAATTCTCTCTTTCCCTAAGATTATGGATACAGACAATAAAAGTGATGTACAGATTGACTACAAAAACTTTAGTCAATCTGTACATAATGTGTTAGATTTGAAGTAATCTAAATTTATGCACTATTCCCTTCTCTGCACAAATTTTAAATTCTTTCTATTTAACCCATACCTTGAACCTGTTACCAGTGTGGATGATATGACGGATAAATATATTGCAAACATTTTCAAACATTAATAGTTCTTCTTCAGGTGATAGAAACAACAAGCAAAGGAACATAGAACAATTTTATATTTCTATTTATGGATATCATCTCCATAAAATAGAAATATAAAATTGTCCTCCATATTGTCCTTTATTTTTTTTAACTCTTATTGCCCTGTGGGCATTATGTGTTTGGCCAGGCCCACAATGGGGTGGCTAGGTGCAACACATCTGCTCGGACAAAAATTTTCTGGGGATTTTTTGACCTGTCTGAATTTGATTCCTGTTCCCCAGAGCGATAGGCTGCCACCTTGAATGCTCAGCTATCCTGCCATTACCAAATTGTTGGTTGGAACACTTGGAAGTTATAAAATCAATCCCCAGTAGTTGTTTCTAAATCTTTAAATGTCTCAACTTTGCTTTATTATAACACAAAATTCAGAAATTTTCTCCTTTGAATGTCCAAAGCAAATCATCAAATGCTAGTAAATGTAAATTTTGAGGCATATATGTCAGATCTAGCCTATGCACAATCCACCATCCACTGAATTTGTAGTCAATACATTCTCTAAAGCCAGCAACAGACTTGTACATTTGGTTGTAAGGTATTGCTCACCCAAAAGTTATATTACAGCTGTTTGCTTTTCATCTTAACACAAGGAAACTGGACATTCAAAATGAGCACTCCATGTTCCAATTTCTTTCATTCACAAGCAAACTTGCTAGTTGTGAATTCCATGGCTCAGAAGTTTGTCTACATTATAGTAATGTAACTATCAAAGGAATTCACCACAAATCAACAACAGAGTGAAGTGCTCGGTTTGTCCATGCTATAAATGCACAGCGTTATATTACAACCAAATATTATAAGTCTGTTGCCAACTTAATGGTGAGAGACAGAATGCATCTCACATAAAAGAACCATTGGTATAAGTTAATTTTTGATCATTTGTATATCAAATTATCATCTATACAGGTTGTCTGAAAAGAAACCAAACTTTTACTCTAAAAATATAACTAGATGGTTAGATTAGCATTAATAGTCTAATTCAAAATTTTGAATGTTATATTTTCAATTGTGTGCAATATATTCATATATTGTACATGCTGGATAAATAAATATGATTTAAAAAACACACCTTTAACAATCCAGCAAATAAAATTTACTAAAATAAAAAATTTTACTCAGTTACATTCTATTTTCCCACTTATTCCATACTCACTCACTGAGAAACAAAAACAGGCATACATTCATCATGCTCAAGACATCATCAAAATGGCTCACCAGAATTCAAATTTTCTTAAAAATATTATCATGGGTGATGAGATGTCAAACTTCCATGTGAAAGTCATCAAACAAACACACAGCAAAAATATTTTGTTTCCAAAAATTTCAGGTCAAGACCATGCCCGTCTGTTTTTATGTTTCCTAAGGTATCATGCACAAAGAATTTGTCCCAAATGGCCAGAATGTTACCGAAGAATATTATTTGGGTATTTTGGAATGTCTCTTGAACTGAATTTTATGCATATGGCCAGAGTATTAATGCAGAGTTTTATGCATGTGTTCAAGGAAGCTGGACACTGCTGCACGACATACCCTCCCACAAGAGCACTGCCTTTCATCAATTTTTGGCTCAAAATGGTATTGTAACTCTAGACCATCTACCTTATTCTCCCCATCTGTCTCCCTGTGACTATTTTCTGTTCCCAAAACTTAAAATTTCAATGAAAAGGACTCGTTACAAGGGCATTCCCGAGACCGAGGATGCTGTGATTGCAGTACTGAACCAGGTGCCAAAACAGGAGCTGAAAAGTCCTTTGAAATGCTAATTACTTATTCTGAACATTGTATTGCTGCGGAGGGATCTTATTTATAAAAATATTTCTTGTAGTGTTTTCTTCCTAGAGCAAAAGTTTGGTTTATTTTTTAGTTGGTTAAATTCCAGATACGTATACTGTCATGGCAGCTCATCTCTGATTCCAGCAAACAGTGGGGACGCACGTTCTAACCTACCCTACCCTATTCTAATAATTTGGTTGGTAATAATTATGGTAATTTATTAGAATAGGTTAGGTTAGGTTAGAATGTGCGTCCCCACTGTTTCCTTTCTTTTGTTTGCTGGAATCAGAGATGAACCGCCATGACGGTATACGTATCTGGAATTTAACCTTTTAGACAACGTGTATTTGTAATTCCTCCTGAAGTAACTTCTACCCGACCTTTTGGGGTACAATTACACCCCTCTGAATGAGACGGTTAGGACTTTATCGGGGGAGTCTGAAAGTGGGAGTGGAAAATCTCTCATTCAGAATTCACATCTTACCATAACATCATAAGGATAAATCACTTTCAAAACACGTGGTAACAATCTCACCTCGTCATAAGCTTGGATAAGTTTCTCAATCTCTTTTGTTTCTATTTGCTTTTTCTTTGGTCTGCGATTCTGAAACATTTTACTTTTCTTTCCTTCTTAATTTCTTCCTATTTCACATGGAAATCATTCATCAACAGACGTCGGCCATTAAAACGACTAAACTGCCATCTGTGAATAAATAAAATATTATTCTAATTATTTATAATTTAATAAACTTTAGAGATTTGTTGTTTTTATTAAATAAATTTATATAAATTAATAATTAAGAATTTTAAACCAGTTATATTTCATTTTCTTATTATTATATTTATCTATCAAATATTTTCGTTTCTATCGATCACTATATGCTCATCAGTGGCCGAGTGGTCTTCGTCCCCACACTTGAGTGGACTAGACCCTGAATGCTAGAGTTTGGTCGTGGGTTCGCAGCCGCGCTCGAACGGGCTGGCAGCGTAGAATTTTCCGGGTTTTCTCCACCTGAATAGGGGCCAGTTTCCCTTAAAAAGTCCTCCCGGAAGGCATTTGGTCGCTAGGCGACTGAATGCCCGCGGAGTATAAAGCCTAATAGCCATAAACTCCATATAATCCACTTAGCGAAATGAAAAATGAGATCGCCATATGGCTTTTTTTATTTTTACTCTTTCCATCCTTTGGAACTTAATAGGTCCTTTTCATCAAAGCCCATTGTTGATTTGACCAGGTCCACAATGGGAACAATCAGATAGTAAGAGGTATAGCTCAACCTCCCGGGTCAACCTATTCCTAAAACTTTCTAAGCCCCCTTGGACTCGAACCCCGAATCTCCTGCTTCGGCCATCAATCATCTCAGTACATTACTGTGATAGTGAAATGTTTGAATTTCATTGCTTTTATTTCACAATTCCAAAAAATTAAAAAGAACCGTACGATGTTTTGCCAAAATTTTAATGTAATAACCAAAATAAATGAGGCACAACAACTTGAACTTTAAATCTAAATTTATCAATAAACAAAAAAAGAAAAAAAAGTCTCTACTATGGAAAAGGTACAGTACATCAATTATACAATCCTTATCAAAGCTATAGGAATAATTTAAGAAAAATATAGAACTGATAAAATTTATTACGAAGTAGAAATATAAGATGCCATTTTCTCTCATTCCATAAATTTTAAGTTGGCAATAAATTAAATTTATTACATAATTAATGGAAACTTATGAAATGTGAGAAAATGGTAAACTATACTTCGAGAAATATACAGTATATTAAACATAATATTCATATTTTAATTGAATAAGCCATTCAGTAGAGGCTAAGATTAGCATTTTCGTTCCTTAGTTAAAATATAAATGATTTCATAATTGTTAATATTTCCTTTTTTTTTAGCAAAAGTTGTAAACATAATCTCAATAATGCCAACATTTTTCCTTATTTTCTGAACAAAGTAGTCCATCATTTTTAATAACAAAAGAGTTATTTCATTGTGAGAATAATTAATTTTTGAATCATGTCAATCAAATATTCTCTATTATTATTTTTTAATCTGTTGGTTTCCTAAATAGTTTATTATAAGGTACTTAATAATTAATATTTTATCTGTTGTAGAAATTCCCCATTTTGTCTCAATTTTTTCGCGAAGTAATAAAAATAAAAAATAAATCTAAATATAAAGAAATGAAATCTGAAAGCAGGAAAAAGATTTGGAACAATTATCACGGTATTTCAATTTATAATGAAAAATCTCCCACCAAAAACTGGAACGCATTTCCCAAAATAATAATTTATATTCCGGAAATATAAACCAAATCATTAATTTTCGTACGTTTATCATACACAATGGGGAATTTTTCACTTTTCTAATGAAAAACTCTTTATTGTGTACCTTGCTGATATTTTTTTTTAAATACAGGGTCGCCCAAAAGTCAATTAACCATGATCTCTTTGCCAAAAGTTTATAAATTTTTGCAGAAAGTTAGCAGTGAAAGTATCAAAGCGTTGCAACTTGTGTACCGAATAACTATCTTATTTTCAACAGTTTTTGGATAGTTTATAATGCAATACTAGAATTAAATAGTAATTTAGACTTTAGAATGGTTAACTGACTTTTTGGCCAACACATATTTTCAAAATATCCTCCGAAATTTCTCCAGTACATTTTTGTTATGATCGAATAATGGAATCTATGTTATCTAAAGTTATTTTATAATTTTAATTTTTAAAGAAATTATTTATAAATATCATTGATTATTTTATACAATGTAGCAAAATATAATCGACTGATCTGTAAATTGCAATTTCAACAACACAAAGAACAGTTAGGTTCCGTGTTCTGTTCACAAAGAAGATTCAATATGCAACTTATATTATGTAGATACTCTCATAATGGAATAAACAGGTAAGTTTAAATCCTGTCCGATTAAGGAAAAGTGTTGATGAATCAGATTATTGTAATACGACTCTAAAATAATTCGTTCTTAAAAGCTTCTCGAAATGACCCTTTTTAATCTTTTATTCCTTACAATGTTGCTTTTAAATGCATTGATTGTTCTTCTGCTAGTTTTACTTGTGTCTTATTTACTGTCAATCTGTTGTCTAAATGGACAATACGTAACTGAACCTCAATTTATCCATTGTCTTTTCACTTCCTTCTTTGTGTAACGGCTACTGTAAACATTTTATTTATTCAATAATTCTACAAAAATAAATTTAAATTCTGATTTTTAATGAGAATAGTTTAATCGATTTTTATTGAATGTTTTCCTTTATTTTTTCAAAAACACTTTTAATATGTAAAGAAACTTATTCATATTGTTTTTCAAATTTTTCTGCTTTAGACTTTTACTATTACACATTAATAATAATGCATTCGTTTTCCTTGTAAATAAAACTAAACTGCAGTTCATTTGTTATATTATTTTTTAAAAATATACAGTGGTACCTCAGGATACGAAATTAATTCGTTCCGAAACTGAGATCGTATCATGAAAATGTCGTAAGGTGGATCATCTTTTCCCATACGATTACATGTAAAACCAAATAATTCGTTCCAACGCGAAAAACATACTCAAATTAAAGCCAAGTAATACATTTAAAAAAATAACTGTAGTAAGAAAAACAAATGAAAAATGCGAACTAATGTAACGTCGTATGGTGAGTTTTTGTTCGTATCGTGGAGCAAAAATATGTTCGAATTTCATGTCGTATCCTGAAAATTTCGTATGCTGGGGCGTTCGTAACCTGAGGTACCACTGTATATGCAATTTTATTTGTGGAAAAGCTATCTTATTTATAAAATTATTTTTGTTTTTCAGACATTTTCTTATTTTCGAAAAGTTCCTTTCCATCAGAAATTATTGCTTTATTTATGCGATGCACGGCAAATGAGGGCAAGACTAATCCACAAACTAAATGTTTTCACCAAAAATATTGTGTTAGAACGAAACTATAGTAGTAACCAAAAGATTTTACAAAGAGCAAACTAACAAAGACTTCAAGACGTAATGACTGAATGCTTTAGAATTTTTCACTTTCGGAAAGACATCTTCCAAATGTATCAGCATGGATGGATTGCAATGTCCAAAACTATGATTCCGTAGGTGGTTAAAGTGCCAATCTACCACTTTCGGGAATCCGGCATCGAATAAACGAAAAGAATTCCAGGAATTTTTCATGAATGGTGTGTTTTGGGTATATTAAGCTCCATCCCTCACTATTCACTTCACGGATGACTCATTGTGGGCCTAGCGTAACTGAACCATGGGGCTTAATTAAAAGTCCCTCCAAATGCCAAGGCGAAAAAAGTAAAAAAATAAAAAAAAAAACAAAATTCCGACTGGAGAGCCCTATGGTTAATTGCATAAATGAAACTAATATTTATTTACTTATTGATTTTTTAAATTATTTTAGTGGATTATTCTGTGATTTATTTTTTACACCTGGTTCTAATTAACAGGAAATTTTGAGTAGATTAAATATCAACTAAAATGATATTTTTAAATGAATATTTGCATTAAATCCTAGATATTTTCAGCCAGAAAAACTGTATCAATTCCATCTTTTATTAAAAAAATAAAATTATCGATAAAATGTAGATAATATCTTTAGAATGAATTTGATAATCTACTAACAATTATACAGGTAAATACAGAAATTCAGGTATTTTCCTTAGAATTTCGTTTGAAAAATTAGGATAAAGACATTATTACTATTTTATTTTCATTTGTTTTAATTAAATGTCAAAGTTTATCTGACATTTTTCATATTCGAAAATAGCAGAAATCTACAAACATTGAGTCAAATATTTAGAACATTATTAAATTTATTGCTAACTAGCTTGTTACACTCGCGTTATTAATCGTACATTTACAAAATGTATGTGATAAACCCATTTTAAGAACATTATCAGAACACCTATAAACTACGTGGGCAGTATGTCCTCGTAAATAGCAGTTTATAGAAAAAGTTATTAGAATTAATATGGTTTATTTGGTGACGGCAATGAGACACGCAGGGGATCTGCCGAAGGGAGAATGCCCCCGAGATATCTTTTATGGGAAACTGGCTCTATTTAAATGTTACTAATGTCAAGAAAATCCGGTAAACTCCACGTGGCCGAACCCGACCGACTACCAGTGTTCAGTAGTTTTATCCACTCGGTCACTAGTGGGCTGCTTTATCAGGTAATTTACTGTACTACTGAGTGAGGCAGAGAACGGAATTTTTCTATACTTCTTAAAGAATTAATTATAAGGTTCTAACTTCCAACCCCTCGTTCTCTGTTAGAAGGCCTGATCAAGTGGGGAAAATGACCTGTTTGCTCCCGAGGATGCTTCTGCTCTAGGGAGCAAACTGAATTTTTTACAAAAATTCCAATGAAAATTAACAAATCTAGGAAGAAATGTAACATTTTACTAGTATATTCCATCCTGTGTTGTTAATTATTATGTAGGACATTATTCTTAATGTAAAATATACACCTAAATTTTCATAAATCATAAAATAATAATTAAATACTGTATATTATTTCAAATATAAACTTTATATGTATGTTTCTTATTTAATATTAAAATATACAAATTAGTCATACGCCTTCTCTCTCGTTATTTTTAAAACTAGGCATGCCTGTATGAAGTATAGGTATAGACTTCTAATGGAAAGAT